CTGGCTATTTTTGCACCCCTTCCGATTAAGCAGTCCCGACCTCGCAGATGTCCCCTGTGAGTTAATAAGACAATTAAGTATTACAAGAGTAGAAAAAACCAACTTTTCAAAAAATTGTCGAAAAGTGGCTCTAGTAGCGACTATTTCGTTTATTCAGCTGCAAGGCATAGATTTAATTTTCTCCACCATTAATATTATTGCATTTACTTTCAGTTTATAAAATCCTCTCTGCTTGCTAATCGTAAATACATTTTTAAGTTTGTAACTCCAAAAGAAAAATCTCCATATATCCCTCGCATGTTTCTTTCAATGCCTCTGAGTCCTCGGATGATATTGAAACTTCAAATCTCTTTGCTGAATACATCCGACGAAATTTTGCGACTGCTAATTCCGATCTACCTACATCCGATAACTAATTCGGTTTCAATTCCTAATTTGGTCGTTTTAGAAAATGACGTTTTAGAGGGGCGAACTCTCTAAAGTATAGTCGTGCGCCTCGACCTGATGGAATTCCACCATGCTTTGTCGAGCTATGTCGTGTTATTTCAGAGATTTACAGTCCATAAATATAGGTTGTTTCTTTTGTGTTGGAAGACTCGTCTCCTTATTCCTATTCACAAAAGTGAAAGTAGACAACTCGTTGAGAACTACAGAGGTATTGCCAAATTGAATGTTTTATCTAAACTGCTCGAGCGAATTATTACTCAGCATTTGGCCTTCACCATCAAATCGTATATTTTTCCATTTCGGCATGCTTTCGAAAAGAAAGTTCTACGGTCACCAATCTGTTGGAGTTTACTTGTCATGTTTCCAAGGCCTTTTCTAGTAGATGTCGTATACACTGATGTCATATACACTGATTTTAGTAAAACGTTTGATTTGGTTAACCATAACTTACTGATCTTCAAACTCGAAGCCTCTGGCTTCCCTTTCCATTTAGTGAAATGGATAAGCTCTTATCTGGACAATAGATCATTCAGGGTTTTGTTTAACTCCATCACCTCGGATGAATTCCCCGCGACGTCTGGCGTACCTCAAGGCAGCCACTTAGGACCCATTTTATTTAATTTGTACATTAATGACCTGCCTCATCAGCCTGCCAGTTTCACATGACCAGCTCGGTGATTAAATCCAGCCAGATCTTAATGTATGCCGATGATGTGAAACAGTTTTCTTCCTTCTCCTTGGAATGGCAATTGTTTCAGCTTCAAATTGGCTTAAATTATTTGGTTGCATGGTGCTCGTTGAAATTAAATCTAGGTAAATGTAAGAAGCTTTCTTTCTCAAAAAGAAAGTCATTCATGACTCAGTATTTCATCGACTCGCACAAATTTGATGACGTCGATTCGTTCACAGATTTAGGCGTTCTATTTGACCAAACGTTACGTTTTAACTTGCATGTTGAGCTCTCGTTACGCAAAGCTACGTCCGCGCCTGGTTTTATAATGAGGTGGTCTAAAGAGCTTGATGATCCCTACATTACGAAAAGGCTGTATATGTGTTTGGTTAAACCAATACTTGAGTAAAGCTCTATTGTGTCCTTCCTATAAATGCTATGTAGATTGAATCTGTTGAAAAGCAATTTCTGCTGTTTGCCCGAAGGAATTTGGGTTGGGACCCGATTGCCTGTCTTCCCTCCTATGAAAATGGGGCTTGCTTCTGTTATCCTTACCGTCACTTGAGAAACGTAGATGTATCCTTGACGTTTCCTTCTTAATCAAAGTAATAAATGGTAGTATAAACTCCCTCGCATTACTTGGTGAGATAAGCTTTAATGTCCCTAACTCGTTCTCTAGGCACTTTATCCTTATTAAGCTTAATCAATGTAAGCACACTTACGAGCTGTTTAGCCTGCTTAGAGTTGTTTGCAGGAGCCTAAATGATGTCTATCACTTGTTCTCAATATCGGATTCTTTAGTCTATTGAAGCAACTTTGCTTAATACGCGCGATATACCTATGTCGTACTTAAACTAACTCGCTTTCTTAAATTCTAATTTTTTTTATTTCGAAAACTAAATGGTGTTGTAACGTTGTCGCCTGCCAAGCTTATGCATGTTTGCAAAGGTTTAGGGATTCACTTCCAACCTTGATCTGTTCCTTTTGTGGGTGTGCTTCTGTACTAGCGGTGTACATGCCTTTTTTTTTTTTTTATTTATTTATACGTGAATTATTATTTTAAGTTACTGTGTTTTTATTATTCTTTTTTCACATCTTCCTATATATTATATATTAGAGTTTAAAATAAATATAATAAAAAAAAAGTGAATTTGATTGTTAATTTAGCTTAGTTGAATTTCATGTATAATAAAATAAATTAAATAAAGAAAATTAGCAAGACTAATAATTCAATATATACTCAATCTATTTTTCACCTAAAATTGTAGTCACTAAAGATTTTGTACTTTTTTTTTTAATACCTTTAATTTAAAACAAGTGAAATTTTTTTTTAAACAACTTAACTAATACAGAAAAGACACGTCACAAAAAAAAGAAATTTTCAGCTGTTCTTTGCTCTAAAATGTTGTGCCAGCGTGGAGTGTTGGTTTGCAATTTATTAAAGTTGTTCCCATCCCTAGAGCAGGTTAAGGCTTTTAAGCAACTTTAGACCTATTTCGTTAATTTCCGTGCTCATTAAAATAATTAATGTCATGGTTAAGGCGAGGCTGATACATTTCTTGTACTCTGAGATCATTATTCCAACTTCTTCTTATGCCTTTCAAAAACGCAACTCTGTAAAGACTTACGTCAATGAATCGTCTTTTCCCATAGCGTGTTTGAAAAATGCTGACAATATGCTTGAACGCCTATGAATGTGTTAACTTGACAGAGCTTGATAGAAATCATTTAAACTCTTTCTTTCTTTCTTTTAAGCTCGTATCTGAAAGGACTACTGAGGAACTAATAAAGGTTAAAGAAATAAATCTGTCCTTCTCTTTTAGAAAGTTATATCTCTCAGCGACACCAAAGTTTTTTTAAATGAAAATTTAAGCTCGTCTCTGAAAGGACTGCTGAGGAACTAATAAAGGTTAAAGAAATAAATCCGTCCTTCTCTTTTAGAAAGTTATATCTCTCAGCGACACCAAAGTTTTTTTAAACGAAAACTCCAACTCTCATCCAAAGAAAACTTAATTTGATGGTACAAATTCGTCCAAAGAGTAGACTCTGAATGAACCAATACGGGTATTTCGAAAACACTACTTTCACCAACTACTTTCAGCAACTGTTGATGACAACTAATCGGCTTTTTTATATTTATATTTGTATAAATCCCCCCTTTAACATTAAGCCCACATCGAAGGCGTCGTTTTAATTCCTGGGAGATCGAAATACTTTACAGACTCATGAGTGGCCACACTTATGACAAAGTATATTTAAAAATTATAAGCCTTTTCAATTTGTGATGGCCCACTTGATCTTTTTACAGCAAAAACTACATTCTTCTTGGAGAACTAACTTGTCTTTTTACAAAAGCGAATTTGTCTGTTTAACTTACGATAACTTTTCACTAGTCCTAATGTTCACTTTAAATCGAAATTATCTTGTCTTCGACGTTTACCTGTTTAAGGATCATAAAATCTAAAAATATTTCAAACTAATTGGCTGATAGTTTTCTTTGCCTTTTTGCCCATTTTGTAATATTTTGAAGAAAAGAAATAAAGAAACTCACTTCAATTGATAAATTATTATTAAAATTTACGAAAACAAGAGAACATGCAAGAACCATTAACCAAATATGCTTTCTTTTCGAACATTCTAGCGGTGTGTTTCGTTTTTATGGAATGAAAGTACATTTTTTGCTTTTAAGTTTTTTAGTATCGTAGGTTTTTGTTTCTTAAGGGATATATTTTGTGAGCCTTAGCCCATATTTGCAGTTTTTAATAAAAGAAATCTTAATTTTCGGTACTATATCGATCATCACATTCTATTATCTAGATATATAAGACCGAAAAAAAGAAGGACGAGGAGGATTAGTAAAAAAAGAGAAAAAACCAAAGGAAATTAATTCAAATTATAATTAAATCAAAACAATTTCATAGAAGTAAAAAAGAAATTATTTTCAAATATCTATATAAGCGTATTCCTAATCTTATCCCGAATATCTTTTTTTTATTATCGTAACAAATGCAACCACTTGTTGCTTATAATAGCAATGTAAACTCTGTGTTTCAATTCACAATAGTAATATGCAATAACAATGTAACAAACAACCATTGTGAATATAAAACTGTTAAGAAGAAGCGTCGCAACTAATTTTAAGCAAAAAAGAATTATTTATAAAAACACCGAAAAAATGTAAGATGCATAATTCTTTTCTATATTAAATATTCTTACGGTGTTCGTATAGGCGTAACTAAAACAAAAGAGAAGAAAAGCGAATCAACAAAAGAAATTGTATGTAAATAATACAACAAAATTGTGTGTTTGTCCTTCAATTTTTGTATACGTTGTAATCTATTAGAAACAAGTGTTTAGCGTTAAGGCTTTCTTTTATTGATTTAGAGAATTTTGTTAAATGTGCTTTTTCAAGAGTAGCCATAATAATAAAGTTTTTCTATTAATACAGTTGCCTCTTTGTTCCTATGTCAAATTTCCTTGCGACTAGAGTTAGTTTATGCAATATAAGTAAATAACAGCAATGTTATGCATGTATGCGGCCATTTACCAACTTGGACAGAAAAGAAATTGTTTTTCGTTAGAAAAACTCAAAAACCGGTATATTTACTATACGCCACTCACTGTTGAGCGTCTTCAGTTAGAAAAATTGTTTGATAAGATTAAATGAACAAATGTAGAAATGTTTTCGTAAACCACGATTTTTGTAATAACAAATAATATTGTAGAGAATGTACAAAGGCTTGATTGAAAGCTAATAACAGTTTGCCTCAGCAACATTTCTATAATCGAAAAATTAAAAATAAGTGCTTACTAATTATACATTTAAGTGTGTTGAAATTATTGTCGTTTCCCATTTTTCCTCTATTACATATTTAATCCAAAGAAATTCAATGCAGTGACAGTAGCGCAGAGTACCTTCTATTGATAATTGTAAGAATAAAGATTCATCTGATCTTGTAAATGCAAAGAATATATGTGTTGTTGAGACGGACGACGAGCAGTTAATTTTGGCCGTGCTGTGATATACCTTTACTATACAACGTCACAAACAGATTATTTATTCATTTTACCTAAGTGAAAACCTGCATTCAGAAATATGCCTCTAAGCCAATGGTTTGGACGGACAAGCAAGTCGCTAAAGGCTCATAGAAGGCATTCAGCAAAACTTTATACAATACTCTACGCGGTGTTAAGTTGTATATTTTTAATTATTCCCGCTGGCTTCACAGCGGAAGTTGAATCCAACATAAATTTGAACTCTCAAGCCTCTGTAAGACCACCCACAGTAAGTCGAATAGTGTGTAAAACATATCTATTTTAATAGAAGACTTAACTTAAAACAAGAAAATTTTTTTACAGAAAGCGTCCATGAATATTAAAGTTGAACCTCGCAATGAAAATGAAAACTTCGTATTGCCTGATCATTTGCTTGAAAATGACGAAAGCAAAGAACAGAAAGGCAAGACAGGGTTTATTGATGCCTTCACAGCCTCGGTTTGTGTTATATTATTTACAGAACTGGGTGATAAAACATTTTTTATAGCGGCAATAATGGCTATGCGGCACCCTCGTTTAATTATTTTCGCTGGAGCGATATCAGCGTTAGCCTTGATGACGATACTTTCCGTGGTATTTGGAATGGCTGCCACTATTATCCCGAAGATCTACACTTATTATATTTCGACAGCACTGTTCGCTATTTTTGGCTTAAAGATGATATACGAAGGTTATTTTATGAAGAATACTGATACCCAAGATGAATTAGAAGAAGTCCAGTCAGATTTGCGAAAACGTGAAGATGAGGTAAGTCCTTTAAGGTTTTTGAGTTAACAATAGTTTATATTATAATATTGCATTATCTGCAAATTATTAATTTCGAACTACGCACGTTGGTTTTACGAATATATGAAACGAATATATTTTTTCTACTTATTTCATATTTTTAACATTTTATAGCGAATGCATTCTTGTAATTTAGCAGCAGTTTCCGTAATACATTATAATTTTAATTTCCATGCTATACATGTCTACCTACATAGGTTACTTGATTGTTTTATTTCCATTTCCACCTTTTTTTGTTATTCGTCTGTTTTTCTTCAAAGTATTGAATTCTTTTTGTAGTCATTATTCATAAATTTTGTCAACATTTTTCGTTTTTATTGTAAATTCAAAATCATTGCAATTTCTTTAGGTAGTTCGTCGCCCTACTTACTCTTATCTTATAAATTACGTAACTTACAAAAATACGAGGGCCACATGATAAGCGTGCCCATAGCCATACATATCGCTCTAGCCATCTTTACGAAAAACGTGAAGACATTGCAATAAATTTGATTGCTGTAAATAAATACTATCGGCCGTTGATATATGTCACCTCGTTTTTTCTTGAATACCCCCGCTTTGCTTTTTCTAGACGTGGTATACCTATTTTTATTGAAATCCGTCAACTTTTATCAATCGCCATTCTCGCAAAAATGAAGATAGATAACTGAAATGAATGAAGGCACACGTCTTCCTTGGTCGATTAGAAATGTCAGTTTAAAAAGTAGACATGATTTGTTCGCACATACGCCCGCAATGTGGAAAAACGCAAAACAACTTCGAAAAACAGCGACATTTTTTTCATATTATTCTCTATAACTTTCGATCTCGTGAATCCATTTCCGAAAAAGACAATTATTCGCCGGAGCCACCTGCATATTCGGTACAAAAATGGTCTCGATCGGTTCAGTAAAGCGTCCACGATTAACGTTTAAATAGGTGCGTTACCATTTATATACCATTTTTTGCTCATTGGGTTCTTTGCGGTACTATATGGTACTATTTGCTTTTACTAGATTTGCTTTGATTTTTGCAATAAGGACCAGATTTATTCAAAATAGTCAGCTTGTTAAAAGACTGGCGCGAGTCTTACAAACAATTATTACCAAGGGAAAAGTTGTTTTACATAGTGTAGATCAAATAAGTCAGGTAAACTCAGCACAAAGTGTAGTCTGCAAACAAATACATGCCCGACCTTATTTAGGGAAAGACGAACACCGATCATTAGGTACTATTGGGCAAATACGTCGTGCCCAAGCTTGCAAGACCGTATTTATTATGTGGCCAACATATATCCACTGTTAACTTCACAAATATTCCCCATCCAGAAAAGTTGCTTGGCAAAAGAAGAACTGTCTTGGGAACTTTACGAATAAAAAGGATAATGATCCGTTATTTTACAAAACTGTTTAAATCAGATGGGAACGTTCTCACGATTTTCAAGTAAAACCAAATAAAAGATGTTGGCTTCCGTTTATTGTCCCATGTACCAAATATAAATAGTAAACAAGCAGTTTGTATGCGGAAAAAGCAGATGCTGTATGCAAAACATGTATTGAAGAAGACTCTTAATAAAAATGTATAAATAGTTTATATAAAAATTCCTTCGTAATATTTTCGTCAAAAAGATGAATTCCAGTAAAAAAAATACATATATTGTCAATGACCGCTAATCCAGTCATATCAAATAGAAGCAGATGGTACCAAATAGAACTCAATGACCACAAAATGGTTCCTAAAGCTTACCCATCAAATTGACGGGTTTTAGTGAAAATTATGATAAACAGAACGTCCATAAATTTGTGGTTGTATAACGTAACATAATAACAAAGTAAATTAAGGGAACAACTGTACGCAAGTAAGGTTTATTAGGAAATTAGCAAAATCAAAATGAATTGCTGAATACAAAGTGTCTAACTGAGGATATACTTTATCGATCCTTATTCGCAATAATTGCTTGCTACCATTTCTGCTATTGAGACCATATGCCGAAAAAATCCAATTTGTCTCAAAGATTGGTCGCAGAGGTTCCCATTTTCTAAGGTATAAAATGTGAATTTTCACCAACATCCTCATAAAAAGACACATAACCTTATCTCCATTATTTACATATCCATATTTTATTGGCGTAGAAATTTTAACAAGTGGTTATTACAATTTTTTTATTAAGCCATACAATTGCTCGCTTATCGAAAATAATGTAATAATGGTAGTAATTTGACGCGAGAATACATAAATAATCGAAACACCTCCCATTTTTCCATCATTAACAAATGCTATACGCAATGTAATGTGTCTGTATTTCAGTACTATCTCAAAAATGAAAATAGAAAAAATTTCTTGAATATACATAATATGATCGAAACGTAATAATAAAACTTTTTCAGACTTTAATCATGGGTAACTTAATTGACACCTATGTCTAATTTCATGTCAATGTCTTGTGCAATTAATGATAATGATCTGAAAATGAGAATATTACGCGTCGTCGCGCCGTCTACGACGAGAAGATGGATTATCGTGATACGAGAACAAAGAGTTATTAGTAAAGAGTCAATAGTATCCCTTGCGAATAGTTTGGTCGGACGCAGACCATTCATAATGGAACACACCACGAGGTTTTAATGGTAAAAACATTAATATAATCAAATTACAAAACACAGAGCGTTATCTAGCGCTGGAACTTTATTCCTCTTTCATAAGCTTGCCATAAAAGATCTGGTCTTTAAAAACAGTATCGATTCAAATAAGCTTCCTTTCAAAAATATTGAAAACTAAGTGTACTGGATATTTGGAGCTTTGACTAAAGTCGATTTATATACAGCTTTCTCACTTATCACTGCACCTAAAGTAAGAGTTCTTGTGAAATCTAGCCATCTATATATACATATATATATATGTATAATAAATATATATTATAAAAAATATAATAAATTTATTTTTTGACACTGAATCGTTTATTAGCGATCTCATTGTGTTTTGTGTATTTTTCTCTACTTTCCGAATATTGAATGTGCTCTAAAAACTATTTCTACTTCGACTTCTCTATGACTAAATTCTATTCTATATGTTTGTCTCAAACAAAAACAATTGGCTATAATGTTTATCCGGCCGGGAGAAAGCTTTTTCGCCGTGCCCGTCAACGGGAAGAAATAAGTAAACGTAAAAATAGCAACAAATCATATAAGAAAAAGACTGAAGTCACAGAACTATCAGTATATCCCAGCTATGTCACTGCCACATGTTGCCAACATTATCAACAACGCGATTTATTGACGACTAGTAGTAATATATCCGAACTTAAAATGAACAACGATACTGCCAACAACCAAGGTAAAAGCATTGAAAGTGCCTTTACCCTTAACGTAATTACCGGTGATCATCATTATAATAATCATCATTGTCATCTTCAAAAAGCCACATTTTATAGTAGCCCAACGTTATCAACTCCTGACGATCAAGCTAGCGTTTATGAAGATCAAAAAAGTCGTTCTAAACAGCAAAAATTATATGCCAGTAGTGACAATAATCACAAATTTGTTACGTTAGTGCACCTGACAAGGGCAGGTGCTGGCAATCCATATCGAACAAACGGTAAGATGGCCATAAGTATTAGCAGCATAAGTAGCATGGCTATCAATTCTGCTGCAACTGCCTGTACGTGCCAAGATGATTTAAAAGAAACTGGTGGTGGTGGCAGCAATGAACGGGTTAGAAACAAACAACGAAAACTGATTATAATTAATTCTAAAAAAAATTTATGTCGCTTTACTAATTGTACTTACAATTCTTCTTACTCTTCATTTCACTAACATTTAGTTTTTAAGTGTGAGTGAGTCAAACTCAGAAGAAAGTGAGAAAGCTATTTTCGGTTAAGATCGAATCTTGAATATCCACCACCTAGATTGCTAAATGCTAGTTAGCTTTACAAGTCATTCAAGTCATCTGTATCTGGCGACAAAGCTTGAAGTCATTTCAACTTCAATTTAAAAATGTTTTAAAATTAGTACAATATTATTGACTGTACATTACGACTTCGGGTGGTGGTTATATAAAGGTCTTTAAAAAAGCATTTAGGCATTATTTTGTAGTCACATTGCTTAGACCTAACAATTAACGGGTGGATATGCCGTAACAATACTTCCACGCATATATATAGAGGGCTCTGCATAATTCGGTAGTCTTCAATCAAAACAAGTCTTCTAATCTCTCAAATTTTTGATTCTATAAAGGTAACAATCCTGATGCAATTATTTGCGTAAGTAGTTGCAAGTAACAAGAAAGAAAGATTTGAAAATCTTTCTGTCGATGTCGCATAACTTCAGACTTGCGCTCGAAGGTTGTTTATTTGTATCTTACGAAAACTTCCAAAAAATTTGTACAGTCATTTTATTATTTGAAGGATTATTTGTACTCCTTTCTTTACTATTGGGAGAAACAGAATTCATGTTTTTTTATTAATCAAACTTATAGGGGTCTTCTAAACAGAAAAATTAGCAAAAATCAAAATGGAAGATAGTCATTGCTTGGTCAAGCAAAAACAAGAAGAAACTAATCACGATAGTTCATTGTTTGACATATTTAACAAGTCTACGACACATCCTATTGAGATTTGAGTTGATTGAAAAGAAGTTGTAGAATATTCTGCTTTCTTTGTTATCTATGAAGGTAATGAAAATCGAAAGTTTCAGCTTCTAGGAAGTATAACAAAGAACATTTCGAAGATTTTCAATTGTGTATTTTTCTAGTAATGAAGTAATCGAGAGATGATCAATAAAGGAACGATCAATAGAAGATTTGTTGATAACAGAAATTTTTGTATTTTTATTTAATAAGTTAATGCGTTCGGCCCGGAGTTACTTTCAAACCGTCACTAAGAAATGGAATTATACTAATTTTTTCATCCCGCTTTTAACATTCATTAACTATGGGCATCACTGAACCATATTAATATGTATATATTCTTGATCTTATTATTTCACCGAATTTTAGTTTCAAATGTAAATGACAGCATTCCGAAAATTTTAGCAATGAACGGACAGACAGACATAGATAAATTTGCTTAAAAATTCGTGCTAATTAAAAGTACGAATAAAGTATACCTTAAATAATGCCTAAACTATACTTGGGTGATAGAATTAGAGTCGACAAATCTTGCGATGACCGAATTAAAATAATTTACCAAATTTGTTTGTTAATATCTAGACTTTAATGATAACCATTTTGTGTTCATTACGTGTATACGTTTTTATGCCAAATAATTAATTATCTTAACACATGCCCTTAAGGTTTTGGACAAAAAAAACATTTTTTACCCATCCATTATGTGAATTGTTCCTCTTTTTTTTTAAGCCATTGTGTTGTTATTCATTAAATTTTATTCAAACATATATTTAATAAATTATTATTCATATATGTATGTGTATGTATGTATCATCATGCATTCAATGCTTGCATTTTATCGGTATATTTATAGTTGGAACGTGACGTTACTGCCGTCTTGGTGCAAGATCCTGAAAGCGGTGTTGTACGAAAAAATGTGAAAAAGGGAGCCGCTTATTTAACGACGCGTGTTTTAGTCCAAGCCTTTACAATGACTTTTTTGGCCGAGTGGGGCGATCGCTCACAACTGGCGACCATTATATTAGCGGCCAGTAAAGTAAGTCAAAATAAGTAAGAAAATCATATCTAACTTCCCAAACATTTGGATATTAAAGTCGAAAGAGCAAATTTAATGTACACCTTTCGCTTGGCGTATAATAACGGCAAAAATTTAAAAAAAAAAAATTTTAATGCGTTAAATGTTTTGATTATAGGATGTGTATGGAGTGATAACAGGCGGTGTAGTGGGCCATTCGATTTGCACGGGTCTGGCAGTGGTGGGTGGACGCATGGTAGCGGCTAAAATCTCTTTACGTACCGTCACAATTGTGGGAGGTGTAGTGTTCCTGGGATTTGCTCTGTACGCTCTCATAGCGAGGCCCGATGACATTTAAAACCGTCGCCAGCATTTTAAATACTTCTTAAATTTCTTATTACTATTATTATTATCTTTAATTCTTCATTTCTTCACGTGAGAGCGAATCCTGTCGTTTGGTAAAATGTAAAAAAAAAACAAATTTATTTTTAAACCAAATCTAATGCAATCATTGTATAATTTTATTATATAGAATAATATATTTTTTCGTTTATTTTAATTGAAGATGTTTTTCATCTTTTACATAAGTATCACAAATTTTAATGAAAGTGGTTTTTCTCCACGGCAAACGTATTATTAATGTGTTACTTGTGATAAACTTAATAATGAATCGATGTCCCATGCAATTTAAATTATTTGAAAAGAAAATAAGAAATTTGTTAAAAAGTTTTGATGAGAGACGAAAGTTTTTAGTTTTACTGTTACAATAAATGCAAGAAAGTGTTTTCATATATACGAATTGCTGAAAATTTTAACAAATGCATGCAACATATGGCATAGTGTAATATAGTGTAATGTACCAATTGAAGAAATAAAAAAAAGAAAACAAAACTGTACGCGGGTTAAACCGAATCTTATGTGCCGGTCAGAGAACACATGCAGCCTCGGCCTTCTTTAACGGTATATAATATACCGTTTAATTACTGTAGATTTTGTGTTTGAGGATCACGATAAATACCCGTAAACAGAATGGCCTTGGACTTGTGATCATAAATAAGAAACAAGAATGGATGATTGCATTCGAACTTTGTAGGCTCTAATGGTCGAGCTGAACGAAAGCTAAAGAGTACTGTGGCAGCGGCAGCAGTACTACCTTCTTCATCTACTTTAATTTTTGCTACATGTTTGGCATCGCCAAAGTTCAAGTTGCTTTCAACAGAAAAGCCACTTAACTCAGCATTCTGACTGAAGATTAAATTAATGCCCATCCGATTGAGTATCTGAAAAAGACTTTAGTGAGCTAAAAAAAAACCAAGGTATCTATTATGATCGACTCACCGGCATCAATTCTATATTTTGTTCAAATTCAAATTTAGGAAGTGTTATATCTATTTCCCGAGGCATGCTCTCTTTCAAAGCCGTTTCCAAAGTTTCAGCGTTTAATTTCTCTAACACATTTTCTAATCCATTTTCAACAAAAGGTGGCAACACAATCATCATGGATATGTCAGAATCTTTGTTCTCGTCATCCGAAGTTAAATAAGGCATTTGCAGTATGTATGCGCCGATCTGTTCATCAATTGCCAAATTATAAGTTCCACGTCGATGCATCATAGGCACGAAGGTTTGACTTTTGGTAGTATAAAATATTTGGGGTTTTGTGTCTTTGGCATCAAATTTGTTAGCCCATTGACCCTTAAAATAAGCAGCATTAGCTAAAATCATTTGAGTGTCACTGCTCACGTCATCAGCGCTAAGGACCTCCGGGATTTCATTTCTTGTAATATTTGCAATCCACGCATTTATGTCCTGACGACATTTCTCGGGTTCGTCTCTAAAATTTAAAGACTCCAATTCGTCTTTAAAGTTATCAACTACACAAAGTGTCAAGTTAATACTTTTATCAAAGTAAATTTTATCCGCTGAAGCAAACTCTATGGGCATCTTTTTAGAACGTGTAAAACGCAAAGTTTTTTCCAAACGATAACCAAGATTGACGTGTTTCTTATTCTTTGCCCATGATAACCGTAAGACTTTGACTAATTCTTCTTCGGTTTTACCAACGGCCCCGAAATAGGCCAGCAACAAGGCATGATAAGTACTGTAGGGTGAAAAAAATATGTTTTCATTAGGCGTAGCTTTCTGAATCTCATCCAGCATAGCAAATGTAAACTCTTGTTGGCCGCGGTATAAATCCGCTCGTACAGCTGTTGGCATTTGTTCGACATTAGGCTCCGTGAAGCATATTTCCTGATTGAAGCAAACAGCAATTGTGGCGAGCAGTATTATCCAGAAGAAAAACACTTCGTATCAGAAATAAAAATAAAACTTATATTAATTATAACGCATTGGATCTTCATTTTTCATGACAAACAAGAAAAAGCCTTCAACGATAAAAAAAAAAAAACAAACCGAGCAGAACGTGGCTTCATAATGCCGGTCAGGAAAGGAAAATGTTACACAGGAAAAGTGAAGCCTTCTAATGTTGAAACTTTTAATGGAAAAATTAAATTTATAATATTTTTCGAAAAAATAAAATATATTTTTAAGATCGAAGTAGTTGCTTCTCAACGAACTTTTTATACGATTCTCCCCATGTCGGATTCGATTGGACATTGGCACATTTTATTAAGCCAAAACTATAGTACCGGAATTCCAACCAATATTATTTTGAATATTTATCTCTTCAGCTTTCATTTGCCCTCTTGCTATGGTACGCAAATAAGTGTATAAATGTGTGGATAATAATAGTTATAGATGTTAACTGACCGTTAAATTTCTATGAAATTTGAGCCAGCTTAATTTTTAACAAACAAGGTAATAAACTATTATTACGTCATAGCGAAAAACGTTTATAATTAGTTACTGTTAAAAAATTTTCGTAAGAGCATTTACTTTATGTTTACTTTGTGGCATCTTATAATGTTACCGAACACTTGGTTCCTCCAAAAACGAAGAGATAATTATACCATGAAATTTGACTTTCATCAAAATAGATGTTGCTATCCACCTTGTCATACATGTTCGTCTGTTGATCGCATGTTAAAATAGTAAAGACGCTTCCCAAATTCTGCCTTAAAAGCAAACTTCAACTGAAAGATCAAAGATTAGGTGCCCACCTTAAAACTGCAGTTAGAATCGGACTTAGACGTAAATATGTTCATATTAAAATTTGCATATCGTCAATTATGACGATGCCTTCTTAGATGTGGACAATGACAGTAAATATACATTAATAGGAGACGGTACATGCTCATAATTTCTTCTTTGGACAATTCATTACGAGATTAAGGCAATTCACAAATGAATATGATCATAAATTGATCCATATTCGCCTAACTTGAAATCTATCTGATATTATGTTCTCCATATATGTTATCTGTTTTATCTTGCATGTGTATATTAATTTCATCAAAACGTTTGCAACAACCGGAAGTAAACTTCATCAGATCTGAATCAATCTAACCATGTCCACCTGTCCACTTGTATAATATATGCGGTGAACATACCATCGTTCACAAAAATTAAGCTTGGCAAGAACATTCAATGCTCATTAAATATTCTTGCACCAACACATTGAAAATGGGCCACATAACCCAAAGGTTACACCTACAGTGCAACTTAAACTGAGAACACTAATGTTTCCAAAAGCCGAAACAATTAATTTCGCGCTTATTATAATGTTCATATACTACAAGAGATAAATGGCAAAAATATCAACGTATGCGGGTGATCCTACAATACCTGTATAAAAGTGCGAAAATAATCGGTCATTGTGTCTAGTACAATAGAGCACTTTTTCATGTGTTTTCTTTCTTGAGAGAAGATGGTTAGTAGAAAAGATTCAGCTTTGCCGCTTTTTTATGTTATATACGGTGTGTTTGATCTTTATTTATCCGTATTTTCTATCGTATATACATACAACTCTTTGATGCGTTCCTTGAAAATTTGGTGCAAAAAGAAACCGTGTAAAAAAGTATATGGAAAATGGTGATAGGTTCCACTGTCTTAAAAATTGTGTAAGATTAAAAAATCTCATTCATCTCATTTTTTAAAGAAATCTAATGATATCCATATTTCGTTCCTATAAGACAAACGTACGGCGTAAAGTCAATCCATAAGTATTTACAACATATAAAAATTGAATTGAATATTAAATTGAATAGGAATAAAAATTTCCCAACTATTCATCGCTACTAGATAACAAGCGCACACATTCATTACGGATTGGACCAAAAATCCTTCCATCAATAGATATGTCGGTTATGTTTAGCACAACTGCCGGATTTGAATCAAATGACGAACTGTATTCATTATCAACGGCCAAATAAGTGTAAAGCAAGTCGCTAACTTTTGTGTGGGCATAAACTGATTGACTTGTGATCGCAGTATTCCTCTAATTGTATTTTGTTGCTGTATACATAACTTTCTGTGAGATACTGTCAAAATTACAATTGAAAGGAAAAAAAAAATGTTTGTGGATTAGTGCCAGAACAAAAAACTCGTCTAAAAATTTTCTGCTAATTGGTGGACACTGCTAATTCAAAATCGTGTAAAAAAAGCAATGAATATTTGTCAAAATTGTAGAAAGCACTATGCCTACTTTTTATATATGATTTTTGGATAACTGTAAGCGCATACTTCGTCCGATTTAATTGACTTCCGAAAAATATTTTAAATAAACTCAATATTCAATCTGGAATTGAGAAAAATGGGCGGATTCATTGACTGCTTTCTCTGACTTTTCACGCAATAAGATTGATAAGAAAAAATATAAAACTAAGTTTGTTTCTACACAGAGATTAAAAAAATTGTAATCGGAACAGGATGGCTAAAGCGATTCCGGCAATATACATCCGGTTTGCTATTTACCAACTACAATATAAAAAAAGCACTTAAATTATTCTTTAATAATGTAAGAGTTTGAGAGACGATAAAATTGGTAAACACTACCTAAATATGCACTACAACTATTATCAAAAGACAACCACGACAACAAATTTTGATAATGTTCGAAAACAAATACAGCGAAGAACAAAGCAAAAGGTTCGGGAAAAGTTAGTTTTGGAACTATTTTAGTTTACAAAATATTCTCAGAGATTTTAGTAAGAGCGAGCTAAGTTGCAATAACTAATGACAAAAACTCATTGGGAATGTTAAAGCGAACAATTACAAAAACTAAAGTTTCCTTAAATTAGAACAAGCAGAACGTATTAATCCGCGACCCCCTACAATGGTTAAATCGTAGACGTTTCTAATGTAACTAATCTAGCTGAAAAGTGACAGATGGCGACTATTGCCTGCGATAAATTTTAACCTTAATTAAATGTATGAATAATAGTAATGACCTTGCACGTAACTTTAAAGGTATATTAATCGGAAATCACTCATAACCGAAATCGTGACTAAATGTTTTGTGTTAGTATTTTAAATGCATAATTTATTGGAAGTAAAATTTTTTTAAATTATAAAAAATTGTTTAATATATACATTTTTTTTTTTAATTAAATATTTTCTTTTATAACCTTTCTTATTTGAATCAGTTCATTCAGTTTAACTACCGAGTAAACGTAATAATTGCAAATAAAATGTAACCGAAATAAAAGTGAAAGCGTTGATAAGCTTTGTTTTATGCATTTATACGTTATTGTTTGCGTTTAGCCGGGCCGATCTTCTCAAGCGACTGTTAAACGAGTTGAAAATGTAATGTAAATTTGCGAAAGCTGGAAAAACAGCTAAAGTTATTTTTGCATTAAAGTTGCATTTTTACTTAATTGAATTAATTTCTTTCGGTTTATCTTTTCTTTTATTAATTTCGAATTTTTTGATAGCACGCAAGATATCTACAGAATCTACGTACGTGAAAGTGCAGATAGCGTAAGCTTTTATCAGATGAGCCTTACAGCCATTTTCAATATACATAGTTTCAAGGCAATAAAGGATTAATTTGTTCGAATAAAGGACGACAAGGTTTCGAGGACCTTTCTTCGAGTGTACATCCAGCACAAACAGTAATTTAGCATTTAAGGAGCAATGACAACTCATGGCAGTCGAAAGAGGTGGAAGATGAAGAGGTAGGAAATAAACACTGTGTGAAACAAAACCCTGATGAACGAGGATCTTTATCTGCATCTGTTTAAAGATGATTTAAGGATTGAGATGCATATATGTTATACTAATTGAAGGCAAGACGTGTCGAAACTTTTTTTTTGAACATTATAGAGACGGTTTATTGCTTTATAATGCAGCTAATAATCGATGTTAGTTAAGTTACGGTAACAACAAGAACGCAACAAGATCTGATCTAAAGTGCACAAAAACGCTCAAACGTAACGCTCGCAAATACGAGTTGATTCCGACATACAATCCGTATAAACAGTGACTGCGATGGCGATCAGAGATTTAAAATTGAAACATTTATAGACTTGTCGTTATAGTGAGCTAGCTGACGAACGCTCCAATTCTTTCTAATTTCGGAAGCTTAATAAACAGTTCCATCTCGGAATTGATACGGTTAATGATTCGTTTTTTTGCCAGCATCACCTAAACAATGGGGAAAACACAGCTTCAATTTTTGTGTTGTTATCAACTTAGTCATCTCTTCAATTAGTTAGAAAGTACCACATAAGGGAGAAATTCATTCAACGTACGATCAACTTTAACAGCAAAATAAAATAAATAACTTTAAACGCGTTTAAACTCTAAAATGTTCACTTCCGAGCTCTTAAGTTGCATCGATAAACAAATACGCACAGATACATAGCAAAGTATTTGCGTAATAGTGTTGACCTGAATGTTGATTTGTGATTCATGCCCGTAATTTCCGAAACAGCAACAATTGTGTACAAGCGATGGAATTTCCAAAAATGTGGTGTAAAACCGACTCTGAACGTGAAATAAATAACACAAAGAAAGCAATAAAATCGAAATAACAAAGTTCATTGTATAGTAATAATTTTGTCTATGTAGTATATTTACTACAAAACATCTTCAGCAATCATAAAGGCAACAACGCTCATCCTAAATGCAGTCACATTATTATTACACTATAGTCGAAATACCGTTAATTGATAATTTTAGTAACTGAAAATACTAAACACGCATTTATGTAAGCGTTTACATTTTTAAAAAAAGCAACAACAACAGCGACTACGCCAAAAATCGAAGTCTTTTTTTGCATAGCCTTGGATAATTATGTGCTTATGTGTGCATATGTATATATTTTTTTTGAACACATATTTTCATTTATTACGAAATATACTTTTTGAATTTTATTGACAGCAACAACAATCGATATGATTTTGATGATAGCGATGACGATGATCATATAAACACTAGCTTGTCGAGTTGAGCTGTAGGTTAAACTCTCTTCTAGTTTGTTTATTATAATTAATACACAAACTCGGCGATCCTCACTTATAAACTGCTTTTCAAACACTGATTTATTGCCGTAAACAATATGTTTCAACAACACAATTCTGCTCAAATCGAAATCAAAAGCTTTTCTTACGATAAATATTTCAACGATATTTGTTGAATCTCACCGATCGTTGCTTGTTTGATGATCGACTGTAACTTACAAACAGGCAGAGAACCCGTTAATGAATCTCTTTTATTTTTCCTTTACTTGCAAATACTTTAAAGAAATTGATGTTAAATCAGCAAAATCGACTGAGAATTATTTATGCTCTTTTCGCAGTATGAGTTCGTGTTACCTTATTTGGGGGCTAATCACTTATCAAAAATTTAGCTTCCGTTTTTGTATTCGGCAGTTTGTTGAAAACAGCTAAACACCAATGCGAAAGCCAACTTTCAACTACTGATAATCGCCATAAATTCGATAGTTTCTCAGTTTCGTGTCTATAACAAAAAGCTCTCCAAATTTCTAACTATCGATTTTAAAAGCAATTGATCGTTGGGATACATAATTTTGATCGACATCTCTGTCATTGTTGCAATGTTTGTCAATGTTTATTTGGCAATATAACTTGAACTCTACAAAAATAGGTTCAACTTTCGAATTTTTTTATTAAGATTCGGATTTTATGTATGAAATACGTGTAAACTTTTTTTTCAAGTTTTTTTAAAACAAACTGGCATCTTTTAAAACGAAAACTGCATTTTTCATACGTGACTACACGCCAGCTCATTCTTTTGTAACTAAAAATATATAAACAAATGAAAAAAAAAGTTATATGTGACTAGGGCTAAATATCACCATCGTGTCAATGTCAGTCTTACCTTTCCTTACCTGTGTTCATTTTTGGTATAAAGAATCTATATACAATGTACAATACTTTTTTCTGTCTTTGGGAAGAATGAGTAAAATAATATGAAAATGAAATGAAACTAAATTTTGGTGTTTTATAATAATGACTAAGCCTGTTCGACTTTTTCTAATTGAAGGCAGCATAAAGAAGTTTCAGTGTTGTATCTTATTTACGTTTCGATTAATAAGTGGAAAATGTCAAAGGGGAGTGAAAATGAAAGTTTGATCACTTATATAGATAAGTGGACGCTGACAATTTTTTTCACTTTTGATCATAAATAGTAAGGGCCAACCCCAAATTAAATTTAAAAAATTTCAGCTTTTAAAATATTTAAGAGAATGTATTTGCTTAGAGAAACAGAGATACTTTATCTTATGCGCTTGTCGCCTGAGAGACTCGGGCGATTTTCTATACCTACAGAATAGAAATTCCAACCTTTCTATAAAATTTGAAGATAATATCTTAATTTTTGCGACCAAAAGAAAATCAATAACACGCATCCAACCAGACACACAGCTAGACAAACATGGCTAAATCAATTTAGAATTTACATATATAGTAAACTCAATTTGCATGTCCGTTTGCCTCTTCTTTAATTCGCCTTCAACTGCAAGGAGCTGTTGTTGGTGTGACTGTCGAAATTGCTTCGAAGGGCCTATTTTTGGAGAAACTCAGAAACCAGGTAGAAGAGTCAAGAATTGCAAATGTATTCACCAAATGTTTCAATAAATATCAGTAAAAATTTTGATATCAAGATATATGAAGTAAAGCTCGTGTAATTTCACTGGTTTGTATTTTAAAGATTCTAACTGTGTGTCTCTATTTATTTAATTTTCTCTGTCAATACTTACATAAAACCAAGGTTCCATTAAAAATTTAAATTTAGAAGTGATTTATCTACTTTATTGTCACTTTTTTTTATTTATATTATTCGATTTGAAATTTTGGTTTGCACTTAATATTATTTTATATATGGTTTTCAAGTAAGCACGTCCGTTGCTTTATTTAACAGCACCGCCGCTGTTCACCTCTACGCCTTTCCTTTTAAAATCGTTTTTTTCATTCTTTACTTTAATAATTTCTCGTATCTTAATTTTTCACATATTTGTTGTTTACATTTATGTTAATTTAAAACTATGGGGATAATCACGTATAAAAAATTGAACTGCCGCTTTGGCTTGCAGCAGTATTTGCTAAACAACTGAATGTAACATTGAAAGAGCGTTACGTTATCGCTAATGCTTTCGTTCTTAGACTGATTTAGGATTGCGTAAGGGATAGCAATCAGCATTAGCTGATGACTATCGGCTTGCTGTGGATCACGTAAGAACAACAGTTGTGAAATACACTCTGTAAACTTGTCAAATTACTCGAAAGTAAAAAGTGCTCACATTTGGCATTAGTATTAATTGTTCTAAGTTAATATCGATTGTTTCGAGTTCCATTTACAGCTGCAAATTGAAAACAAAATAAATTGCATACAAAATCTTTTACTTGCGCACAACTAAATCAAGACAAGAAAGTAAGAATTAACAAAACCAAAACTAAACGGAAAATTATCAATTAATAAAGTTTGAGTTAGCCACGGAAATAAAAATTGCAAAAACGGAAAATTTTTACTTTAAGAATTGTGCAGAATATTTTTGGGTGGATATATAAGCCACGTTCCTGATTAGCTTAGTCCATTTAATCACAGCAAACTAAAAAAAAAAAAACTTGAATTTGTGAAAGGTAAGCAACATATTTCTAAATGTTAATAAACAATCGTTTTGTGTTAATCCATATACAAATATTAGGCAAAATGCTTCGATACATCATTTTATACCATTTGATAAAACAGCTTCGAACTTTGGGGTGGAGAAGGACTCTGCGGGATCTTCTAATTCCGTTGCCCTACCTTAAAACAAACCTGCTCTGTAAAACAAACATATTAAATGTATAAATAATGTATATGTTACACGAATGAATAATACACATACAAAAATAAAATAATATAAATTTTAAAGTTTATTATATATCTATTATATAATATTATTTGCCTATATTGAACATTGACAACGATATCAATAAATTCGTTATGTTCTAATCTACATTTATTGCCTATGTTTGCGGAGTATTTCTCTCATAGTTAGCTAAACTAAAAAGAATAGCGACTTAACACAGCAACAATTAAATATAAACAAAAACTTCTCTCGCTTTTCTGATTTTTTATTTACACAAAATTGTCACAAAAGTCTTACGCGAAAGTGAAAAAAATGTGTACCAATTATTGGCTTAGTCGTGACTACTGCACATATAATTTATATTTTTCTGTAAAATAGTGTAATAGCGCAGCTTCCCATTGCATTTACTACTGAAAACATTTAAACCGAAAACAGGGAAAACACATCATTGTGTCAGCACCTTTACTTTAATGAGCAAGCGTTAGTCACTCAATAATATTTCTACCAGATATGATGATGGATCGCATTGTAAAACTCATTCGCTTGCCTGATATACATGCATAACATAGTCAATAGGTAAATTTAGATGCGGGTTAAAGTGCAAAGCAATTTGCGCAAATATTATCAATCAATAAATAAATAATATAAGAAACGTTGCAGCAATAGTTACAACTATTCAAATGTTAGGAAAAGCCCTGATTATTAAACCAAAAACATTTATTAGCACACATGAAAATCTATTGATAAGAACCAATTCTATATAAAGCCTAAAATTTTTAACAGTTTTCGTGTAGATGATTGTCATATTTCCGCATGTTTTCACGGATAAGAAGTTAAGTAACACGTAAAAGAATACGAAGCGATTTGGCTAAATTTTTCATATTAAAAAATGGAAAAAATTTATGAAAATCTGGCAGCCAATATCTGTCGCTCGTTCGGAATTTCTTGCAATGGAAATTTGCAGATTTGTCAGTACGAAAACGTGCGGGATCGCAAAGGTTTAATCAAATAATTTTTAAAGTTCCTCATTAAAGTAAGGAAGTGCCTAAATGTATAATTTTATTTCCGTTTTAAGCCCGTCCTTATATTTCCCTCTTATGCATCATTGAAGTAATTTCCCTTTCAAATAGTTAGAGTGGAAACTGACAATGAGTCGATAAACACTTATCAAGTTTGAAATGAACGTGATCTAATGACAATCTAGGAAAACTTTCGTTTGCTGTGAAACACAAGAACATGAAAAGCAAAACAAGAAGATACTTTTTCCTAAAATGAATTCAAAATACTCTTTTGATACGCGAAATCTTTGCAAAAATCTATATGTAGCAATATTTAGATTTTTTCGGGTTGCAATTTCAACTTTGCAGACTTTTTATAGAAATTTGCGGGAGTTGAAATCATATGGTTTTGCAGACAAATACAACAAAAAGAGAAAAAAGTACAATACGAAATGATGGTCGTTTCTTTCAAATTTTAAACTTATTTATCTAGTTTCCGTTTATACTACACTAATGCACACTTTTTGTAGATTATGCGATTTTCAATTTTGGTTTATATCATTTATTTTCTAAGAAATATAAAACAAGCAACAGAGACGATTTATTCTATAGTTGAAATTATTTCATTGGCAAAATGATAGTGCGGCTGCCTATTGTGTTTAGTACTTGCGATTTTTTAACCCGGAAACGAAAATGAAGTCTCATTATGTCAGCCTTATTTGAATTTAGATCGCAGGTTGCACGGCCTTTATAGACGTTTGTAGCAAATTCTGAACAAATCTCCAAATAACCACAAATTACCACTTTTCTTAAGCATATCTTAAGTATTCGAAATTTGTCTTCACGCATTTTATTATTAAACTTTTACTTTCTTTTCTTTAGAGGGCCGATATAATGAGGCGTCGTGCTCGTTTTCGGGTTAAAAACTTCCAAACGGTAAACACTACGGGCAGCTGCGCTGTCGTATTGTTTTATAAAAAAAATGTAAACAAGAACTTTACAACCTTTATAACCAAAAAAAAAAAGAAGAAATTATTGTAAACATAAACAATGAATTCGTGAAAAACAGCAATAAAAAAGTTAATACAAAATTAAACAGATTAGCTTACTGATTAATGACAAAGAATATTGATTACCGACATGTAGATATATACATTAGACATAGTTTTATGTATTAATCGATGGTTTTGAAATTACGGCTTGTTACTCTCTAATAAAATATGTTGGTGAATATATTTCAACGTCAAAATAAATGCTTGCTTTTTTTCATTTCTTATAAATAATGCAGAAAATGTACATTCAGATAAACACAAATTAGATAAATCTAAAATAAATTGGCTTTATTTATATATAGATATGTCCTTGTGCGTTGTTTTCAATTTGTTTGATTGGTATATATACATGCAAAACATTTGTAAATTGCGATAAAGTTCTGTAAAGAGCCCGTAAAGTTAAAGTCCCAACCCGAGCATAGGAATAACGTCTCATTGTGTCAGTCGCCTAAGAAAACATTTTTTAAAGAAATTATTTTTCTTAAAATTTTAAATTACTATTTGTTAGAAATCCATCCGAGATAAAAACTACACAAGTATGTGTTTGTGTAAAGAATATGTAAAATCTTTTTCGATCATTGTCACCAGTGCCTACTCATGGCAGTCTGTAGAGTTCGTCAAAGATTATTCATTTACTTTAACGAGAGATTTTATAGAAATTAGAGTATTTTGTGTTAATGTAGTCTATAAAGAGTGGGACAGAAACGATTATGGTATGGTAGCCAAGAGGGAATTGGATGAATAATTTAATCTGAATTTACCACTACTTTGTATTTCTCAACAAGTTCATAAAACTGTCACAGCTTACAATTATTTTTTTTTTTATTACTTTCCATAAATTTTTTTAGTAAAATTTGCAAATATATGACTTTCATCAAAACAAGAAATGCATGTATATAGTGCATATTAACTAATTTTTTAAATTTTCGATTCAAGTAAAATGCCAAAAGTTGGCAACCCATTCGACTACATCGTAAACCTCATCTAACTTATATATTGTGAAAATTTTCTGTCAAGTAGTTAGTGTAGGAATTCGTTGTGTTCTCTGAAAAAATATTAAAAAATGCAATAAACTGTGAACAATTTGTAACAAATCTGTGCAAAATGGCTACGCAAAAGCCTGGTGAATGGGCTAATTCACTTTTAGCTCGTTTCGAAGATCAGGTTAATGGAATACATTAAAAATTTATTCAAGTATTTAGCATAGATTGCAAAATGAAAAAACGCAAAATATTAAAAGAGAGTGCATTTATCGATTAAAAGCAATCTCTGCGTGACTGAAACGGAGAATAAACAATGACCGAAACAAAACGTTCATTTTTGTTTTGGGAAATTTATTGTTTACATGTGAAATTATGAATGAATAGCGTATTTTATGAATGAAATTGTTTGTATTCAACACGTGTGTTTTGGGATATTTTCGAGGAAGTAACAGAAACGTCTTAAGCATTTCTGTTAAATGGCAAGAAGTAACAGAAACGACCTAAGCATTTCTGTTAAATGGGAAGAAGTGAGAGAGTAGTTTGTTTTGCTAAATTGAATCATACAGGCTTAATCCATATCCAAACAAACAAAAAAAAAAAAATAATAGTTTGTTTTGCGATTTTTCTCAAATAAACTCGGGCTTTACCCTTCGAAGTTAATTATTAATAAAATCTTATTTCTTTTTAATTGATAATCTTTTATAGCTTCCTAATAAATCGGCACGTATGAGTCAAGATCAACTTGTGGGTTGCTTGATACATATATCTCGCTACCGTTTTTCCTTAGTTATATCGGGCTTAACAAAAATGCTTCAACGTGTCAACAACGAAGTATGATTTTAATTTTAATTTTCTTCTAAAGCTCATATACATATATATATATATATATATACATTGACAATTTTAGGCCGTCCAAAGTCGTCACGAACCCGATCGCTGTTATTTCGAATCGACCGTCATTATTCTAACTACTCTGGAGCGTTGTCTGACAAACCAGACTAAGGATACGGCTCGTTTTGAAGAAGCAATGAATGTAAAATTATTATTACGCGAAATAACACAATTTATAGATGTACAAAATGATAATACACCAAATGCCGCCCAGCTTAAATCTTTAGCTTCTAAGGTTCTATTTGCTTTATCACAAAATCATTTCCCCGCAGTATTTAATCGGATATCAGCTCGTATACAAGAGCTTGCCGCTTGTTCTGATGAAAACCCCGATTGCACTGACATCGAGCTGATACAACACATTGATATGGATATGGCGAAGTTGACAAAGTTACTACAAGAAACTATCACAAAATTTCGATCGAAGAGAGCTCCACCTTTAATTCTATTAAATTCTATTGAAAAAGCTATTTGGAACTGGATCGAGTATCATCCGCAAGAATTCCAAGATTTACAACGTGGCTTAAGTCGTGATATATCGACTGGTCTATCGACGTTAGTGAACTATTCAAATCAGATTTGATCTCAATCTTTATCAAAATTGAATCAATTCTAGGTGTTGGGAACCGTTATTAGATTTTATAGAGACTTACAAAGCTGAAAACAAGAAAAGTAAGACAACTGTGTGGCCGTTACAGATGCTGCTGTTAATTTTAAATCCGGTAAGTTTTAATTTTTTTCGAAAAGATGCAATGCGATAAAGCAATGTCGAAACCGTCATGAAGAATATATATATATATATCTTATGTTCTCTGTAAAGCTCTCTTTCGGACGTTGCAAATATTATGACGACATAAATTAAAAATACAGTTGTTGTCCATTTTTAAACTATAATTAAACCCTGGATATGTCGTAGCCCTTGACGAGTACCCTCTTTAAATATCAGTACACACTCTTTTCATTCTCTAGTTGTGATGGATGTGCGGAGCTGCGGAACTGTTAGCTCTGAGTGTGGGGGAAATTTTTCACTTCGCTTATGGACCACATGCATAAGATTAAAGAAAGCGAAAATTGTAATCAATACTTTGATTTTAATCGGATGAGCGCGCTCATACTTTTTTTTTTCAATTTTTTCATTGCAACTATTAAATTGGTGCTAATATTGACATTTAAGAAATTATATACAACAAGTGAAAACACTAAAGTGGGACGAAGCTTAAAGCCCTTGCACCACTTCATTTATTACAGTTATTGATATAACGGCTTTTCAGAGTAAGGCTTTGTATGAGGAGTGGACGAAAAAGTGGTCACTTATGAACCATATTCAAGACCACGTTCGTCGTTGGACCAAATCGCGCCCGTACACCTAATTTCATCAAAATATCTTAAAGATTGCAATCTGTAGGCTGAACACAAGAAATCAGGACAGACAGACGGACAGATAAGATTAAATCCGTGCAAAAAGTGATGCTAAATTGATCGAATCGAATAATAAATAAAAGGTCTAACTCAAGTCCTTCTTGTCGTTGCTTACATCCGCACAATCTTAATGTATCCTCCTACCACAAGTGATGTACTGTATAAAAATATGGAGTAAATTCTCAACGTACCCATTTTTATGCTTAAAGCTGGGGAATTTCAGATCAGAAGCACAGCGAAAGTTTACCCCACATTCATTTCGAAGCTGAGGTGGTGCCGTCTTTTGTTTTACACCATATATTTTCGAGATGACTTGCTTCAGACGTTTGCCCGCTCAAAAATAGAATGTTCCCACTCCACCGCTTGCAGTCTTCTGACAGCCACGAAATTCTTAAGATAAAAATTATCAGATCGTCGGTTTTCAGGATAATAGACTCCAGCGGATGTGAAGTGTCCAAGAGCTACACACGTCGGTATCAAAAATCATCACATTCGCGACAATGTCAGCTCTATTTTAGCCTGCAATTCTCTACAAATCAAATGCAAAGTAGATCTAAGTCACTTGACGTCAATAGCCAATAGAAAAAATTTTTTCGCAGTTAAGTCTTCCAGCGGCATGTCGGAGAAAACTCCTATCATAGCTTCACAATTTGTGCCATTGATAGCTGAGTAAACCAAGGAATATTAGGTTTTGCGGAAATAAAGTACCACTCGGAACAACTCGGCAAATTGAAAATTTTTACATAGGTTCGAGCCATCAGACAGTGAGTTAATCTTGCCAAATAAGAAGGCATCAAAACATTCGTGGTTGCTTCTTACAGCAGATCGGCCGAGATCGTAATCAAAAAAAAAGAAAAGATCCTTGCAATATATACGTTAATATGTTAACTAATTTTGACTGGAAAGGCAAATATCGTGAAATACCAAGATCAAATGAAGATCTTCTCTTCTACAAGATCCACCGTTTCATATCCTTAAACGTGTTTCTGATGTTAACTTCAGCACATTGGAGATTAAGGTGTAAGATGCAGACTCATTTGCAGTCATACATATAAAAAAGTTGATTTAACGATAATCGCAGGGGAGTCATCTGATGACATGATGAAGAGTAGAAAGAGTCAGCTGCGTACCTCATTTTAGGTGCAAAAAATTCAACAACACCAGATATAAATTTCGGATTTTCAATATCAATAACAGCCTGCACGAAACCTCTCCTGCCTGCAACAAAACCCATCGCAACCAGCTAACTGTCTTTATTGAAATTGCTGCCTCTCTTCTAATTTTATATAATTATAAATAAGCATTACGTCTAGTTGTTTTACAAAATCTTATCAATCCCAAAATCTTATCATTCCCGAAATCAATTATTCCTATACAGCTATAGCTTGACATCATCCTTCTCAACTAAACTCCATGGTATTAAAAGCTCATTAAATATATTAGTCTAATTGTTAACAGGCCTATATGTGTACATATATACTGGTTACGTACTCGGACAGTAGAGCCTTTAAGAAGGATTCACAAAATAGCGCTTCACTTTTTAACCTTATAGATAGATAATAGCAACATTATATGTCTATTTGTACAAAACTTTCGATTTATTCGTTAACTTATTAATCCAGGCAAGTTTGGAAGTTACTGTTAACGAATTGCAGCAGGGTGAAAAAGAAAAAGAAAAGCTATCCACTAAAATTCAATCACGGGATAAGGATTTCTCCGCGAAACAATTTGTGGAAAGTGTAAAACGTGGCTTGGGACCTCATTCTCCTTCCAAGCAAGTGACAGAATCGGCAGCTATAACATGTGTTAAACTATGTAAAGCATCGACGTATGTTAACATTAGTGATTCGAATAATGCCATCTTTAAATTGGTTCAATACGTTATCAACGATTTGAAAAGCCTACTTTTTAACCCAGTAAAGCCTTTCTCTCGCGGTCAAGGCTATAATTTTGCTGATGTAGAGCTTATGATTGATTGTTGGGTTTCGTGCTTTCGTATTAATCCTCACAATATAGAGGCTTTAAAAGTTTGCTTAAATCTTAATTCACCACAAGCCTATCATTTCGTGATTGTATGCTCTTTGCTAAGGTATGATATAAAAGTCATGAACAATTTTATTTTATTAATATTTTTGTTAGTTTTTTTCTTTAGGTTGGCGCATATTTACGTTGATTTCCGTTTACAAAATAAAAATCCTTTCCGGATAGTGAATCAGCCTCATTTACCATGGTGGCCGCAAACTGAGGTGGTACACTATCGATCCTCAGAGCTGCGGGCTCTTTTCACTGATACGCTTAACAAGGCCACTCAAGGTTATATAGCGCATACGCCTTTACGTATGATAACATCGCTTACCCTTAAGACAAAAGATACCCAAAAAGGACTTACGCGTTCCGAAGAAGTGCTGGCTCATAAAATGTTGCTCTTACTATTGGTTCGCCTAATACATGCTGATCCTACTTTGCTTTTAAATGTAATTATTCCTTGAGAAAAAACGTATTTATTGTTTTGCTTGCATTTTATTTTCCATTATTTCAGACTCAGGGGAAAGTGGCTCATGAGGTACAGAGTTCTACCTTAGAACTAATTAATGGACTTGTTAGCTTAGTTCATCAACCATCCATGCCAGATGTAGCACAAGAAGCTATGGAAGCTCTATTGGCTTTACATGCAGCTGAAAAAATTGAAATCTGGAATCCGGAAGCTCCGATCAATACATTTTGGGATGTCAGCTCGCAAGTCTTGTTCTCGATTTCTCAGAAACTTATACAGCATCAAATCGCCAATTATACTGATGTACTTAAATGGTTGCGAGAGATTCTTATTTGCCGCAACACATTTCTACAACGTCACAAAGATTATGCTCATGTTGGCAGTCAAATAGCTATCTGCAAGCAAGCCCATATTAAATTAGAGGTCGTGTTTTTTATGTACCTTTGGTCCGTAGATTTAGATGCTGTCTTAACCTCGCTTTCGTGTTTCGGCCTGTTATGCGAAGAAGCTGAAATATGTTGCGGATCTGATGAGCTAACGGTAGCTATGCTTGTGCCTAATTACATGATATATCAAGAATTATCACAACTTTCAGCAGGTATCGAATTCTCGACAGTATATTCATGTATCAATCTTTGTAGATGCATTTTATCAAATTTCCAGCTGCTTCGGATTTTCGTGTTTGTTTTTACGATAGTAGTCATGGAAATGCTTTAAATCGTTTGAATCTTCAAAAGCGTATCATGCAATTACTACGAAAAATAGAACATTGTGTTCATGGCGTGCAGCCGGCTTGGGAAGAGACTTTTAGGTAAGTCCGAGAGGTTTCGATCTCTTTTATAACGCCTTACATGTCATTATTGTTTTTGACTTAGAAACTGGGAGATTATGAGTAAAATGCTACAAACTTATCCCAAATGTAAGACAGATGATGGTCAAGCGGAAATTTTTCATCGTGGTGTAGGAAAACGGAGAGCTAGCCATCAAAGCTCTGAACATGATCTGGAGGAGCAAATTAGCGAATGGGCTAACATGACATGGTTTTTGTTGACTTTAGGTGGAGTATGCTTATTAAAGCGTCGCCAACAAACTGCAACCGCCCAAATACCGCAGCATCCAAATCTATCTACGTTGGGATCTACGCAAGCGAATATAAACAATTATGCGATACAGCAAAAAATAAATTCGCTAACGTGTCAAATAATTCCACAGGCTCATATTCAAGTAGCCTGTCAAGGCTCAATAGGTTCACTAGGCCAAACATCTTTGTATTCATTTTCCAGCTCTTCGAGCTCTGGCCGTGGATCGTTACACCCAAATTCGGCATCGAGTACAACATTGGCACAAGGACCACAGCAGGAAGTACAATATTGTCCAGTTACCCAGTAAGCACAGCATAATATTTTCTTGAACAGTGTTCTAATTATGGAATTTTAATGCATACAGATTCATTGGCCAGCTGCTTCGTTTGCTGGTGTGTAATAATGAAAAAATCGGTTTGAATATTCAGAAGAATGTTAAGGAATTGGTGGGTGAAGAAATGTCCACATACCTATATCCCATACTATTTGAACAAATTAGAGCCATTGTGGAAAAGTTTTTCAATCAACAAGGCCAAGTCAATGTCACGGATATTAATACGCAATTCATTGAGCACACAATTTACATAATGAAATCAATATTGGATCCAAAACCGACTAAAGATGCTAGCATTGAACAACCGTCAACCTCCGAAAACCTGGGAGTTACCAGCATAGAAGGCATTTAAAACTAATTAATTATTATTTCTGTTTTACTTAGAATGTATTTAATTTTTTTTTATTAATTTTTTACGTACGCATATGAATCTATTGCTTTCTAACATTTATCACTACTAGACCAGTTTTTTATTTGCAAATATTTTAAACGCGGTTCAGTTAACGTAAAAAATATCTCTGCTCACAGTTGCATGGAATTATTGCTTCAATCTTAATTCCTGGCTAGTAATTTCTAAGAATTAAATATCTTTTTTCCAACTTCCTTTTCATGAAGGTATGATGTTAGGCATAGTTCGTTATGTTAGACATTTGGATATGACCGTTTATGCGATACGCATTAAAACAAAACTATGTCAACTTGTTGAAGTGATGATGAAACGCCGAGATGATTTGGCTTTTCGCCAGGAAATGAAATTTCGTAATAAATTAGTTGAATATTTAACCGATTGGGTAATGGGCACTTCTCACCAAATAGCACCACCTAGTTCGGCTGATGCTTCCTTGATAACTAAGTACTAGCTATTGAATTAAAATTTGTATCGGTTTTTAAAGAAATTTAATTCTTTAGCACGTCCTTGATATTTCGAGATTTGGATCAGGCATGTATGGAGGCAGTTGCTGCCTTACTACGTGGATTACCTTTGCAACCTGAGGAATCGGATCGTGGTGACTTAATGGATGCCAAAAGTGCTCTGTTTCTAAAGTAAACTCTACAGCTCTTTTTTTCAAAATTTTTATAAATAATTATTTAAATCTGTAGATATTTTATCTTATTCATGAATCTGTTAAACGACTGTATCGACAGTTCAGAAGCTGAAAAAGAGCTTAGCAACGCGCCTTTATTACCACCTCGTCCACGGATGGCAGCTGGGAAATTAACAGCTTTACGAAATGCAACGATACAAGCTATGTCCAACCTCTTGGGAGCTAACATTGACTCAGGCTTTTTGCACTCTATCGATTTAGGCTACAATCCTGATTTACAAACGCGGGCAGCCTTTATGGAAGTGCTGACCCAAATTCTACAACAAGGCACCGAATTTGATACTCTGGCTGAAACTGTTTTAGCCGATCGTTTTGAACAATTGGTGCAATTGGTCACAATGATCAGCGACAAAGGCGAACTACCTATCGCCATGGCTTTGGCAAATGTTGTAACAACCGCACAAATGGATGAATTGGCTCGAGTTCTGGTGACCTTATTCGATGCTAAACATTTACTGTCGCCACTCTTATGGAATATGTTCTATCGTGAGGTGGAGGTTTCGGATTGTATGCAAACATTGTTTCGTGGAAACTCGTTGGGAAGCAAAATTATGGCTTTTTGCTTCAAAATATATGGTTCCAGTTATCTACAAATACTGTTAGAGCCTCTAATCAAATCGTTATTGGATAGTCCTAACACTTGTTTTGAAGTTGATCCTGCCCGGTAAGAATTTTAACGACTTTACTTTGGGTATATTATAGGGAAAAACTTGTGAACATTTCTAGCTTGGAACCGGGAAATGATTTACATGCAAATCGCCAAAACCTTATTGCTCTTACCCAAAAAGTATTTGATGCTATTATTAATTCAGCAGATCGTTTTCCTCCACAACTACGATCCATGTGTCACTGCTTGTATCAGGTGCTGAGTAAACGTTTTCCGAATCTTTTGCAAAATAATATTGGAGCGGTAGGGACAGTAATTTTTCTTAGGTTTATAAATCCCGCCATAGGTAATGGAAATTTAAATATCACTCATTTTGCAATTAATAAAATATGCCCAAATTTACAGTCTCTCCACAAGAACTGGGTGTTGTAGGTAAGCAGGTACCTAATTCCGTGAAACGAGGACTCATGTTGATGTCAAAAATTCTGCAAAACATTGCAAATCACGTGGAATTTTCCAAGGAACAGCACATGCTTTGCTTTAATGATTTTTTAAGAGAACATTTTGAAGCTGGTCGGCGTTTCTTTATACAGATTGCTTCAGATTGTGAAACTGTAGACCAAGCATCGCACAGCATGAGTTTTATATCAGATGCCAACGTTTTAGCACTACACCGCCTTTTGTGGACACATCAGGAAAAAATTGGTGATTATTTATCAAGCAGTCGCGATCACAAAGCTGTAGGTAGACGACCATTCGACAAAATGGCCACATTGCTAGCATATCTTGGACCACCCGAACATAAGCCTGTTGATTCTCAGTGAGTTTATGACTTAATTAAATGGCTTGCCAGTTTCTAAACAAAAAAAATATGATCACCTAGCATGATGTTTTCTTCATATCCCCGCTGGAGTTCCATAGATATGTCTTCGACGAATTTCGAAGAAATAATGGTCAAACATCAAATGCATGAGAAAGAAGAATTCAAGACTTTAAAATCGATGAACATATTCTATCAAGCGGGCACTAGTAAATCAGGTTATCCCGTTTTCTATTACATTGCACGCCGATACAAGTATATTCGAAAAGAAATCAAACAAAACTAAAATTTACCTTCTTGATTACAATTTTATAAATTTGATTTCAGGATTGGTGAAACTAATGGTGATCTACTCATATATCACGTTATATTGACGCTTAAACCATTCTGTCACTCACCATTCGAAGTCGTCATTGATTTTACGCATGTGAACTCTGATAACCGTTTTCGCACCGAGTTCTTGCAAAAATGGTTCTACGTTCTACCATCAGTAGCTTACGAAAACGTTCATGCCGTTTATATATACAATTGCAATTCTTGGGTCCGCGAATACACTAAGTTTCACGATCGTATACTGGCTCCCCTTAAGGTTTGTTCGAATATCTTTTCAATTAGATGAGGTTTGTTTGATAAACAATGTTATTTAATCCATAGGGCAATCGAAAATTAATGTTTCTTGATTTCCCAAACAAATTGAATGAGTTCATTGAACCTGATCAGCAAAAACTTCCGGGGGCTACGTTGTCGTTAGATGAAGACTTGAAAGTGTTCATTAATGCTTTGAAGCTTAGCCACAAGGATACCAAAGTTGCCATTAAGGTTGGTCCAACCGCCTTGCAAATATCTTCAGCGGAAAAGACTAAAGTGTTATCACACTCTGTCTTGTTGAACGATGTTTACTACGCTTCAGAAATTGAAGAAGTCTGTTTAGTTGATGATAATCAGTTCACCTTGTCTATAGCGAACGAAAGCGTCCAATTAAGTTTTATACACAATGATTGTGATAACATTGTGCAGGCCATTATTCATATTCGGAATCGTTGGGAATTGAGTCAACCAGATTCGGTAACAGTTCACCAAAAGATTAGGCCTATAGATGTGCCAGGAACTTTATTAAATATGGCATTGCTTAATTTGGGATCAGCTGATCCAAACTTACGTACGGCTGCTTACAATTTATTGTGCGCTCTAACAGGCACTTTTGACTTGAAAATTGAAGGCCAACTGCTTGAGACCCAGGGCTTATGTATACCATCAAATAATACTATCTTCATAAAATCCGTTAGCGAAAAATTGGCTACAAATGAACCACATTTAACTTTGCAATTTCTAGACGAATGCATACGAGGCTTTCAACGCAGCACAATTGAACTTAAACACTTGTGCTTGGAATATATGACACCATGGTTAAAAAATTTAGTAAAATTCTGCAAATCGAACGATGATGCCAAAAAGAAAAAAGTATCAGAAATTCTAGATAAACTTATCTGTTTAACCATCGAACAAAAAGAAATGTATCCGTCTATACAGGCGAAAATCTGGGGTTCGGTGGGACAAATTCCGGAATTAATTGACATGGTTTTGGATAACTTCTTACATAAATCCATCACTTATGGCCTAGGGTCACAGCAAGTTGAAATAATGGCCGATACTGCGGTGGCCTTAGCCTCAGCAAACGTGCAACTAGTTTCCAAAAAAGTGATAACGCGTATGTGCCGTGTTATGGATAAAACTTGCACAAATCCTACTCAATATTTGGAACAGCATATGATGTGGGACGATATAGCCATATTAGGGCGGTATCTGCTAATGCTTTCGTTTAACAATTGCTTAGATGTAGCAACGCATCTACCGTACCTTTTCCATACAATAACCTTTCTGGTGAGCTTTAAGCGACTGCTGATTATGTCTTCTTCATTATTTCATTTTCATTAATAATATTATCGCCTAGGTTTGTTCGGGCTCGTTATCTATGCGAGCATCTACGCATGGCTTAGTTATTAATATCATTCATTCTTTATGTACTTGCACAAAACCGACCTTCTCCGAAGAAGCTCAGCGGGTCTTGCGTTTGTCGTTAGATGAATTTTCTTTACCAAAATTTTATTTACTGTTCGGGATTAGCAAAGTGAAGTCGGCCGCAGTTACAGCCTTTCGTTCAAGTTGTCGTCATCCACCTGATAAATGGCTGGGCAACGAACGGGTCGCACAACCTTTGCCCTCCGACCGTGAACGCCTGTCATTGCCTTCTTTAGAAGTTATCACTGATGCTTTGCTTGAAATTATGGAGGCTTGCATGCGCGATGTACCTGATTGCCAATGGTTGCCTACATGGAATTCTTTGGCACGTAGTTTTGCTTTCTGTTATAATCCGGCGTTGCAACCACGAGCCTTAATTGTCTTTGGTTGTATTAGTAAAAGTGTTACGGATCAAGAAGTTAAGCAATTGCTGCGTATTTTGGTTAAAGCTTTAGAGTCTTTTAATGACATTATACTAATCGAGGCATTGGTAATGTGTTTGACCCGCATACAACCTCTGTTGCGTCTGGTACGTTTTATACACATTTTTTAAAGTTATAAATTGCCAATGAAATGTATTCAACAATTTCAGGAATCTCCCATACATCGAGCTCTATTTTGGGTAGCAATATCCGTTCTGCAATTAGACGAAGTGACTTTGTACGGAGCTGGTTTAGCGTTATTGGAGCAAAATTTACATACATTGAAATCTCAAGGTTGTTTCGATAATGCCAACATTGCTGATGTCATGATGAACACACGAGAGAAGTTGGAATGGCACTTTAAACAATTGGATCATGCTGTCGGTCTGTCATTTCGCAGTAATTTTCACTTTGCTCTTGTTGGTCATTTAATAAAGGTTTCGTTTACATTTATATATATTTATTTTCTTAAAAACATAGACATATTTTTTGTTCTAGGGATTTCGTCATCCAACGCCAACCACCGTTTCAAGAACGGCGCGAGTTTTAATTATGCTGTTGGGTATTATAGCTAAGCCTTTACGCCGGGATAAATTTGAAGTAACCCCAGACAGCGTGGCCTATTTGACAGCATTGGTTGCTGTCTCCGAGGAGGTTCGATCACGTTGTCATGTAAAGCATGCTCTACCCCGTTGGCCCGCTGAGTTGGTGAATACTACGGAAAATGGAGAAATATCCAGTAATGGTTTCCAAAATGTAAGCTAAGCTTCAACGATTTTTTAACGAAACCTTTGAGAACTTTTGTAATTTATTTAGCAACTGGGTAGTATGCCTCTTTCGCGACGACAAAAATCTTGGGACATACTGGATCAGACAGCTATGATTTTCGCCCGACAACATAAAATACCTGTTCCTCAGGTATATACTTTAGCAATAGCAATTATATATATAAATATACGCTTTTACAAAGTATTTCAACCTATATATGAGTGCTATGCCGCTTCACATGCATTTTCATATCTTCTCATCCTAGTTCATATCGTACCGTACTTTTACGTTTGGCAAATTCTTTCTTTGGACTCTAAAGGTTATATTACTATGTGTTTCAACCTTTGTTTTGTGTTTTTTTTTTCTTGTGGAATGCGTAATATATCAATTAGGGCGAATAGAGTAGAGTAGGTTTACATTAGGCATATATTTGAAGCTCTTCGGTATAATTGATTTGGCCATGTCATTACTTGCACCAGAAAAGTTTTATACTCCTATCCTTTACAGGTTTATCGCTTTTTTTTTCAAACCTGTTCCTGCAGAAAACATTTGCTAAATTGAAACAGAAAACCATTGTTAGGCTCGATACATTTTGCGAGCTGCCAAGTAAAGCGATCTGCGGATCGAGAAATTCAAACATCATAATACTCCATCTCTTACCAAAAACCTATGACGTATTTTGTTCGGCTTTTACACAATTTCATTCAGATTATAGGAATGATATCAATCTATCCACAAGAAAATTTAAATTTCCACTTAATTTTCTAATTTACTCGTTAATAAATAGGAGCGTCCAGGAAAAATGTCGAAAATACTTACATATCATGGGGATTGTCTCTACAAATAACCACGTGTTATTCGGTAAAATGTGCCCCTTTGTGAAATTTTTGCCTACGAAACTATGTCCTTAATAATGGTCTTATAAATTCTTTGGCTTGTCAAACAACAGACAAACGGGTGGCTTTTATATTATTTGAATGTTAGCAAACAAAATATTTGATTGTATTTGTTTAAAAGAATTTTTTTTAAATGTTGCAACATTTTGACACAATTTTCCAAATTTTTAATTGGTTTTGAAAAAGTTCGCATGTAATTTATGTTCTTCTGCAAGAAAAAATGAAAGTTTGACAACCATAAAAAAATTCATTTAGCAAGGCTTTAATGTTAGCCAAACATTGTCTAAGAGGATTTGAAAGTCTATATGTAAGGTAAAAGCATTGCAAAGAAGTGCTAAAATGGGCGAAACTCCTAGATAGATGCTATGTTATAGTAGCGTGTAAATGGTGGCGAATTGGCGAAGACTCCAATAAGGAATCTGTCATAATCATTAAATACTTAGTTTGAAATACTTTTTTTTTTGGGTGACCACCATTTAGAAACGCTTGCTATCAATTTTTTTGCGTGAACGTTTGCTGGGTTTAAATCTCAAATGCGGTAGGATTTATTTTCGTAGTCATGGCTATAGTGAGTGCTCCGTCGGTAAAGGCATAAGAATTACTGATTGGGCATATACTCGCTTGCACAAACCGCCTACCTATTCCTTTCTCTATATTCACTTCTTTCTGGCCGTCACCGCGTTGCCCGACCAGGGAACATTCCTGAGTTATTGCTCATCTTCAAAAAAAAAAGACGGGCAAATTTATAAAAAAAAATGGTTGTCTATAAATTTTTGGCATTAAATGACAAGCAAGCCTTTGAAAACAGTGTGAAATGACCCGACTAGGCAACGGTTGAAGTTTTAATTCTTTTTTTAGTTCTTTTTTAGGTATATTGAAGAATACAATTTAGCAAAAGTAGGTGTAGAAAAAAATTTGGTTTATAATGAAGAATTTTCAGTTAGTTTGAAAAATCAAGGGATCGTTATATGTACATTTAACAATTTACTGTAATTTGGTGTATAAAAGTTGTTGAATAAACATTTCTACATTGTTTTTTCCTCTTCTCTTAATATTGCTCTGTATTAACATATTCTCATCTTATCCACTTGTATGTACCTCCACATATGTCATATAAATATATACGTACATGCCTGTTAATTAATTTTTGTATTGTTGTTTAACATTCATACACATCATATATATATATGATTTGTGTTAATTTTCAAAATTTAATAAATTCTCTATTCACTTGTAATTTACTTTTAAAATGCTACTGCCCTACACAAACCTCTCTTTTTTTAATTGACTTTAATTTTGATTTTAACATAATATCTCGAAATTTCCGTAATAAAACTTTATAAAATTAAACCTTTCAATTAAAGAACGTTCGAGTTTTATTTAAAACTCAACGCTCCTTCTCAGTACCGACAACTAAAGAACCGAAAAGCTCAAGCTCAAGCGCCATCGAAGAACGCCAGGTACAAAAATCTACTTTTTTAATTTCTTTAGAACTGTTTCAATTTTGCTTAGTTTTTATTTTTATGCTTACTATATACTTTTGCCGGACTTTAGATCTTTTTTATACACTCTGTATTTAAATAGGACTCAATGAATTGCATCAGCACTAACTGGCACTTAAAAAATATAATGCACGCTAGTCGGCTTGAAATCGTTGACAATTTTATTAATATTCCACAAGATTTAAAGTCTTTTTGTGCAATTTTGTAGTCACAGTTGATCTGCCGTTTAAAGTGTAAAATTAATTTAATTGAAAGATCAGCATTAATCATAGGCCGAAAATCCCCCTTAAGGAATTTACATTAATATCAAATTATGTTTATTTTTCGCAGGAACGTGGATCACGTACTTCAGTTTCCAATGAATCAAACGTCTTATTAGATCCGGAAGTGTTGCCGGATCTATCCATACAAGCTTTAGTCTTGACTGTTTTGGCCACTTTAGTTAAATACTCATCGGATGAAAATGAAACACGTGTTCTCTATCAGTATTTGGCCGAAGGTTCAGTAGTGTTTCCTAAAGTTTTTCCAGTAATGTAAGTTGTGCGTTAATAAAATTGTCGCCTATTCCTGAATTTGAACTTTTTTTTAATAGCCATTCACTACTCGATCAAAAGATTAATAATATTCTATCTGTGTCACATGATCAAGTCGTTCTTAATTCTGTTCAAAGCATTATACAGAACATGTTGGCCAGCGAAGATCCGTCACAACAACAACTGCATTTTTTACAAAGTTGCGGTTTTGGCGGTTTATGGCGTTTTGCCGGTCCTTTTACGAGATATAATATAATGGGAGAATCATCGGAGTTGTTTGTAAATTGTTTAGAAGCCATGGTTGAAACATGCTTGCCAAGTGATGATGCTATGGCGGTGCCGCCTTCGCCACGACCCTACAATCTTAGTTCCAGCTTGAGTAGTCTAACTTTAGGATCGCCTACAGATAAAGGTTAAAGCTCGTTAAACGTATTTATATGTATAAATTTGTGCACAACCACACCACATTTTTTAATTTGCTTGTGTGTAATATGTATATAAAATAATGTAAATACGCTTTCAAACGGCTCGCAATTGCTGGTAGCTCTAAGGTAAATTCAGCTTTAATTAGATACGTACAAAATGAGGGCCTTTTTTGTCTAATTAAAAAAAAAAGTTGTATGTCAGTTAAGTCTTTAGATTTAGATCAGAGTACATTTGTATTTACGAAAAAATCAGATGATATGCTTGCAGCTATATATAGTGAAATTAATTTGTCTTAAAACAATATCTCAAACACTGGATATTTACGGATCAGTCTTACGCAATTACACATAATACAAATATTTATGCTTAAGTAATAGTTTGCATAAGAGAGCAAAAACAACTTAATAATTGGCGTATTTTAAAACGAAAAATGGCTGTTATATAGGATAGAGTATTCAATATTGGAAGGAGAAAGAATTTGGATGTACTTACGCGTGCCGCTTAGTTCCATTTTTTTGTTTGACTTCATGTTTTTGGTCAGTTTTTAGCCTTCTAATCGGTTCGAGAAAATTCTGGTGTTCTTTTATGCTGAACGCTGCCCAAGACTAGAATTCAAAAGTGGTAAAACCAGATAATCTGAGAACTATGTGAATCATAACACAATTTGTTTATAAATTAGAAAATTATGTGACATATTGCTCTAACGAGTAAACAAGCGGTTAAGAAAATCGGTAACATCTGAATTGTGACGTCGTCTTGTAAAAAACGTTGGACATTGGCATCAGTTTGTTAAATACCCCAAGTTACAGGCCAATTACCAGTAGCCCAGCGAACGAATGAACGCCGGGATAGAGATAGTAATGATGAAGCACTTATTGGATTGTGATATATCTTGCAAAAATTAAGAAACTGCATCATAGCTACTCTGAAAATCAAAAGCAACAGCTAAATATGTATTCGAATTTAGGCGCCTCAGACTATAACAACTTAGGCGAAAATTATCTCCATTCCAATGATGTTTTGATCAAAACGGTTTGGCTTGGGCTTGGGAATGGGGGACGCAGTTACATCGATATTCTTAAGTTGTCATAGGAAAAGTATGTTCCTTTTTTTTATTAATATAAGCGTTTTCTCAGACAAAAGCGACTTGGAACTGACCCATACATGGCATATTTTTAGAAAATAGTGTTATACTTGGAAATTTTTTTGTTTCTTCACCCTGCTTAAAGCTAGTGTTATCCCTAACAAAATAAATGCCGACATCAGAAAAGCTTCAATGACGAAATACAAAATCGCACTGCTTCCACATTGACCAAATTCTGAGATCCTTGGTACGTGTTATAAATCTTTAAATGGCTGCTATGATAATTCACGTTTTTCGGTAACACCATCGCGTACATAATCGATATTATTAATTGTAGAACAAAACTAGGCATCGTGTAACGCTTAAATGTAGAAACAAAAAATGTAAGCAAAATCAAAAAGGGACAAAGCTATCTGAGATCCTTCCACCGAAAACAGAGTCATCATAAAAAATGAAATTTTTTGCATTAAATTTGTTATCAACCATATCGTGTTTTCCTAGTGTAAGTGTGGTGTAAAGCGTGGCTGACAGAACTTCTTAAAACTTCTACATACATATATATATATATATATGTGTACATATATGCGTGTGTATATAATATAAAAGCGTATTTTCATTAGAATCAAATCTACAAAAAAAAAAAAAAAAAAAAAAACTTAGCAGCATTACCCCACTGCTTTGTGAAAATCATTTAAGTATTCAGTTACTCAATGTATATAAAAGCAAAAGTTGTAAAATACGTATACTACGATGATTTGAATGTGATTATACATTTATAAAAGAGAATATGCATATATACATATGAATTTTTATTTGTTTTTGTATCCCATAGCTTTCTCATCGGAATCATTAGATCATGACAATTTCGGCGGCAGTGTTAATTCACTACGTCGAGCATCATACAGTAAGGCACGTGCTAAACATCGAATTAATGACAGTCCATCCCATTAAAAATATAAACTATAAAAACTTCTAACGTTCAACCACCTTGAAATTTCGATAAATTCATAAAAGAAAAATCGAATAAAAGATCCCGTACCTAAGTAACGTACCACCGTTGTTAATGTTAAGCGCGTTTTTTGGAAATCCCCCATGCATTAAAGCACACGCCGACACACGTCAAGTGAAATTCATTTAAATATTCCAAAGCATTATAATTACAACAGCACTTATATAATAATAATAATAATAATATAGTAACAACGTAGAAGTAATGCAAACCGACTATTTAAATACCCTGCACTAAATATAATAGAAGTGAAACTAAGTAACATTTATTGTATAAGGCGTTTATTTAAGTATTGTAGTTACGTTTTGACAAATTTATATACACCCACCACCAATTGACGTGATTTTAGTGCATATTCGCTTTGCCATTCAATCTTTAAATTTTCGAATTATCCCATTTTAGTTTGGTACATAGAGAATTTTTAAATTAATTGCCATATTTTTTTATTTCAAGGTTGCACCGAGTTCAACACGAAATTGCATGCACTATTTAATAATCTATCTACCGCTTGTTACAACTTTTCTTGATTTCTTGGGCAATAGACATGTATTCCTGTGTACATATATACATATACATAAATATATACATACTTACATATATATACATACATACATATACACAACGTATATATATATATATATATATATATATACATACATATACACAACGTATATATATATATACATATGTTTGTATATATGCATATTACTATATGTATATATGTATATTAATATATGTATATATATGTATATTTCTATATCTATATATATATTACTGTGTATATATATTCCTAGGCCCAAAAAAGACTCATTTTTTGAGACAATTTACGAGTCATGTACCAACTGGCCAGAATATTCTGCCGTGATCAAAATTTATGCCAACTACAGGCAGTAATATATGCAGCAGGTGGTCGGATGTTATCCGCTTTTCCATCTAAACGATTTTTACGTTTCTTTGGTTGATTTAGTATTCTTTTCCAAGAAAACTTCTATTTTATGAATATTACATTAATTTTCGCACCAAATATCTCGTAATCTTCATCAAATATTTGACGTATGGATTAGTTATCTCTGCTTGGCCGTCCCGATTGCAAAATTTTTTCTTCGAGGTCTTGATGTATAGCCTCTTTTTTACGAAGACTTCTTAAACGTATTTTTTCTAAAATAATTTAGATAGATCCGTTATTAATTTCAATCGCTAGAATCATACCGAGATGTTTCTGTAATCAATCAACCCTTCTATTATTAGGCCAGATAACTTCTTTACCATGCATTTTCGTGGTCCGCCTTAGAGTGAATAAGAATTTATTCAATACTGAACGTTAGTAAGATCGAATTGAACCTCCTAAATGTGTTTCTTGTAATGTTTCTCTTTCTGTTGACCATTTTTTTTTTCCGAATGTCGTTTACCAAAAATTAACGAACCTCTTGAAAGGCTTCTTGACTTTTCTATAACAGACATGATTCCCATAAATCTTACACAACACTCTTGATATCTAAATTATATTTTGTTCATTATCTCAATTTCTTTAGTTACACTCGTTTCTTCTTTACTCTTGTAATTATTTACTTATCATTGTGACTTTGCATCACTTTCGCTAGTTAACACCTACAGGCGCATATGGCCTAGTTATCCGGCTCTTAAAGCATATTTTGTAAATTTGTTCATAGACTATACGCAAAATAAGTAAATTAGACTGGTATAGACTAAGACAGAATAATATCTCGGGTGTATTTTCTCTTCTTCCACCGTGAAAGAGATTATGGATAGAAAAAAAACTCGTTTTATCTTTTTAACGAAGGGTTTTAATTTCCTCTGCCTTGTGGTCTGTGTCCTTCAGCTCTTTTTCTGAATGAAAACAGAAAACGAACTCCACTGAGGTGTCGTATTGAGGAGTGGGATGTGGTGAGGGATCAGTTATTTTTCCTTCTTTTCATAACTTAATTGTAATCGGATCATGATGTGTCTTTGAATCACATTTGAACTTAAACTTATGTATATGTATAGCTTGTTTAAATATGTAAACGAATTTAAGATATAACATTTTAATTAACTCCAGTATTCTGACAAGTGGTTGATTCTCCCAGATTTAATTCATCGTAAAAGCACATGGTGCGATTAGGGTTAACCCTGTGTGTGGCAAAATTTGTAAAATTTTGTAGATAGCGTTCGACTCGACTACAAGCGATGGCAGAATATTTTTTCTTGAAAAATTGTTAGCCGTTAAATATAACATTATTTTCTTAATTCTTTTTGGTATTCCTTTTCCTTTATAGAATTTGGACTTATTCGCAATTAAAAAAACCAAAGAACTTTAAGAGAAAGCAAAGTATAATCATTTATATGGGCGACTTCAAATAAACTTTAATACGAAATTTAGTTCAATCAAATATTCAGGATGAAAAGCAGGCTGGCACGTGTATAATTAGTAAGAGCATGAGGTGGTGGGTAACTAAGGTCAACCACAAGCACATATAGCGTTCTTTCTTTGCACTTTTTTTATTATTTCATACTCGTTTTGCGCTACACTTTCTTTTTTTACTCTTAGTTATATTGATTCACAACTAATTTTATCTGTATTTCCGGATCTAGCCAATCGCTGATCTCTATTCTTAATGTAATCACCTATTAACGGGTAGCTTTGTATGTTTGTGCTTTATTAATAACTCAATTGCTAGATAATTAAAACATGGTCAAGGAAATGAGAAAATGACTAAAACGACTTAAATGAATTTCTCGAGCTGTAAACACTCAACTTTATTCAACCCCTTGATCAGACTTTTAACTTCACTTAAATTGTATAAAGCACAACTTTCATAACATACATGTACTACACTATAAATAATCAAATAAGTAAGAATATAATAACTTGTATTTAAACGAATATCGCTGTTATATATAAAATATTCCATAATAGTTTAATACTTTTAAAAATACTTTTGTTCCTATGATGCGGTTTCTATTCTATATAGTAGTAGAGTGCTTTTAATATGAGAAAAGGTTGCGCATTCAAGGTTTTGGAGAAAGGAACCGCTTTAACAATTGACAGACGAAGTAAAATGGAAATGTAACATTTTAACGCACGTATGTATAGATGAATAGAACATTCATCAATTAAGCTGATTATAACCATCAAAAACGCCCTACTTTTAAATAAATTTTAAGTAGAATGCATGCACCATCTTTTACAAAATCACTCTCTTAAACTAGATTAATTGAAGAGTAAAATTTTATTATTAACATGTTATACTTGGTGTAGATTTTATTGGACGTTGATTAAATAAAAATTTAAAATTTTACTTAAACTAACCGAAAAGAAGGATTTCCCTAAAGCTTTTAATTAAGAGTTTGCAATAAATCAGCTTCTTAACAAAGTCGTTGAACAGTACTCATAAATACGCATCAGCACCTGATTATTATTTTATTCGCCTATAAATAAATATAAATATAAAATGAACGGAAGAATTTATTCACCCCTTTAATGGATAATATCTTAAAGAGAAAAAAAAAATAAAATAATAACAAAAACAAAATGAAAATAAAAATCAACCCTAAAAACAATTGTTTATCGAAAAAATTCCTTGACAAAGAATATATTTTTCGATCAAATTAGAAATACTTAGGGAGCAAACGACACTCAAAAGTAAAAACGGTTTGTATAATAATAAAAAAAAAAAAAAAAAATAATAATAATAATGTGTGTACATTTTGATGTCAGTCGTAGAGTAAGAGTAGCAGGTGACTCTTCTTAGGCAGTGGAATTGACTGTGGGAATTTGAACGTGGGAAGAACGTTTTCTCACGATATTCTCTTCCAATATAATCTTCTATAAAACACAACTGCTGAGATTCATCATTTTACGATCGACCCTCTGCAACAAATATATTTAGTTACTACTTATGGCAAAACTTCTTTCTGTACAAATAATTCAATACCGTAGAGGAAGTAAAGCCTAACAAATACAACAAAAATATACGAAATACGAAAAATAAAGACACGCAGCTAGTTACACGCAAAACACACGATTGAATTTCGGCTGCAAATCACCAATCATTCAGAAAACATGCAGCCGAACACGAGACTCTATTCAATATAATAAGTCCTTTCATTCAAAAGTTTAAAGGTACACGAGTACAACGAAGAAAAACGTGTGTTTAACACGAGAGTAACTATTACACGCAAAAAAAAACTCAGATCGTTTAGTATTTTTATTGCAAAATGGTCAAAGTAAAAATGTTCTACGAAAAGAGCAGCGCTTACGAGTACTACAAAATATCTAGGGAGAAAGGTTTAGTAGTTGACGGCTTGAACTTGGAACTCATTGTTACTTGCCTTTTTCCGATAGAGGTCGGATTTCCTTCAAAATTAATCGCCAAAAAAATCCCCACTATTACCGTCTGAAGATTAGCTGAAGACTAAATTGAACATATTGGCACCTTACAACGAAGCTTGAAATGCAAAGATTAACGGATGGATCGTATTTTAATCGTTTTATCCTTGAGATGAATAGCTACTAAGGATCAGTAGATATAGAAGTTAGTGAAAAAACGCATTAACATTTTCGTTTCTTTGAGTTTCCATTTTTATGTCCTATATCCAACGTTTATTCTAGCGATCTATTTCGAATCACTTTTTGAATCGATCCAAGTTTGTCTGTTTTATTTTCTTGTGCTCAACCTGCAGGCCAGAATTTTTCGGATCTTTTGACGATATTAGATTTTTTGATTGAATTGGAAACAAATGTCTTCTGACCCAAAAACGATCGCTTTCCGACCGAGTTCGATCACTTTCTCGGCCACTTCTAATAAAACGCCTTATGTTTTCGCTTGATTAAAAGTGCCTTTTTTTAAAAAATTTTTTTTTCTCTAACAAATTTCATTAATTTTCTAAGTGTAACCAACCACTGATCTACGTATTAAGTTGAAGAGAGCTCTTTTGAGAATTAGTTGCACAGGTTACAATATAGACTACGCTTTAAGGGGTGTTTTTTCCGATAAAGTGTACTCTCTACAAAAGGGATCGTTTACCTCACGGCAACATCACTTTTAAACTGGCTACCGTACGGTTAACATTTGTTTAAGTCTCTGCATTTACTTATTGGTACGTAATTATCGCGCAATGGCCGTTGATGGACAGAAATTAATGACAAGAACACAACACTATCGTAAAGTAACGAAACCGCTACTGGAAAGAAAGCGGCGTGCTCGCATGAATTTTTATTTGGATGAATTAAAAGAATTAATCATCGATACTCTGGAGGCGGAAGGTGAACATATCAATAAATTAGAAAAAGCCGATATATTGGAAATGACTGTGAATTATTTGAAAGCCCAAAGAAATAATAAAACGGATTTTAAGCACACAATCACAGACGGAACTTGCTTAGTGGTCGACAGAGAAAAGTTTCGTGAGGGTTATACTCAAGCTGCGTATGAAGTTTCAAAAGTTTTCAATACAGTACCGGATTTAGATGTTAAATTCGGGACGCGCCTCATGAAACATTTGGGCTATCAACTAAAGGATCTAAAAAATTGCCATAATAGTAAACAAATCGATAATAATAAGCCACAAGCTTTGGAAAAAGAAGCAAATCCATTCAAGGAATCATACGTCTGGCGTCCATGGTAGACGGCTGATTTAGCATCAAGTAACTATTGACAACGCACTTAGCTGGAATCAACTCATAATAAGCTTTATTAGAATTTAGGATCATCATCGTACACTCCATAGGCGCATGCATCGAGATATTATACCATTTTGCATAAGTTAAATAGCGTTCGTTAAATTGATATTAAAATGAAATGAAGTTATCATAACATTTATGATTAAAATCTGTGATAGTTTTAAGTTATTCCATCTACTATAAGGATCTCACTTCAATAGCTTTTGCTTATATTGCATATCTAAACAATACATTGTGTCTTCCCTAAGATATTCGAACCTTTTAATTCATAAATAAATTTTGCTATAAACTGTACATATAAACATTTGGGATTTTTCTCTTTTTGCCGTTTCATGGACACCTACAAAACAGGTTTATTACCGCCGATTACTGAAATCTAAGCATTACATTACAGTTCGATTAGTGAAAAAACTCTGCTGCACATGATACGTTTTTTGCCATATTTTTCAGCTAACAGGCTTTATTAACGATTGCAGCTCGACAAGCGGAACGCATAAAGTTTAATTATGAAAAATGGAAATGCACTAATCCAATAATGGACTTCTTTCAAGTTATAAACATCAACAATTTTTAGTAACTGCAGCGTGGCTTTTGTTCGCGAACTCCGTTAAATAGTATAGTCCGGCAGAGTTTGTTTCGGAAACTTCTTGGATATAATGTGAAAAACTCATTTTACAAAACACTATATAATTTATGTGTGCAGACAAGGGTTTTCCTAACAATGACTAATAAATCGTAGACCGCGACCAACGGACTGTAATAAATAATGTAATTTTGGTAAAAAAACCATTAAATAATGCAGTGTCGAATATTAATATACGGTGTAGTTGACCTAATAAGATCGACTACAAAAAGTTAGTCCTTAAATGGATACTGTTGCCAATTGTCTACATACCAATTTCACTTAGTTTTCATATATAAACAAAAAAAAATACGCACGATTGCTTCGTAAAGATAGATAAAGTTATAAATATACGACCGCAATTACATCAACATACGTTTAAGGGTTAAGGAATTAACTGCGAAGGACTGCTTGAATAAAATGTTATTATTTTTGTTATAATTCGACAAAAGAATAAATTCTAGCATTAAAAGTGGGGTGAGTATTAGCTAGCTAGGGCATTTAGCTTCGCTGAAGACTGCGAATTTTATGCAAATGGCAAATGCGATACTTTATCTGTTTAAATGTTGGTTACGAAGTTGTCTGCAAATGATTATTTGCGCCCAGTTTTGTCATTAAAGAAAAGAAGGAAGCTATTGTCGGAGAGAAGAGAAAAATTTCACATTCCAATGAGTAGCTTAACTTGTTAGGCTCTAATATTGAAAGCCTTGAAATAAAGAGGGGCAGCAAATTATATGAAAAAAGTAGGCGTATTTCATAGCGAAAAGTACAGCTCACCTAATAAATTCAATTTTAAAGGATTGTTCTTTCTATAGAGACTTTAAGATTAATTCTTTTCCGTTGCGTTTTTATGAAGTCAGTCTAATATTACGCACATTCAGGCAATGTTTGCATTTAGAAATATGTCAAAAGCCTTGCAAAAAATTTGATCTGACTTAGTTTAACATGTGCCTAGTATGTCAACAAGAAATGCGAAGGAGTTTTCCTCCTGTGCATTAAACGATGGCCCAAATTGAGCGCCTTTCTTAGACGAATTGTTCGGGAATTCTTAGACAAATTGAATCTATTAAGTATCTTCAGAAAGAAAGCAGTTTCATGACGACGTTTTATGGAGGGTGCATTTAATGAAAAAGTTTATTATCCCTACTAAGCTCTGATAGTAATTCAAACCTCTTCAGGCAATATCGGCAAGGAATATTACAAGTGCAGAGCAATACTCGAAACCTGGTAAGATATGGAACAGAATATCGCGTTTCGCCAATATTATGCCAATAGTCTATGTTAGTGAGGTAACAGTCGGAGTCAATCATTTGATACAAATAAAAAATAATGCGTATAGGACATCTTGAAGATAAAAGTAACCACACTGAAATTTGGTAAATTGGTTTACTAATTTCTTACTTAATATGCTTCATACTTCCTTGTCCACATGAATAGCGCAAACCTTACACAAGTGGACGTACCTTGTTCAAAATTCTTACAAAATTCTTACATTCAACTTGCGTTACAGGGTACATTGTGCGGTTGATTGTGACATCCCGAAGGACTTGAGTTGGACCTGCCTTCTATTACATCGACCTATTCAAATTCACTTTCTGAATCGATTTCAATTTGTTTCTCCGTCTAATGTATTCTTGTGTTGAATCGACAGGTCGTGATTTTTAAAATATTTTGGTGAAATATGGCGTAGTGACGTGTCTTGGCCGCTATTGAAAATGGTTCGCATCGGACCACTTTTTCGACCACTACCCATACAACTTTTTATTTTAATAAATCGTTATTCGAAATAATTGTGATTTTCGAAATTTCGAATGGAGAAATTTTTAAAAAGCGTTGCCACGTAGCTGGGTGTACGGAAACTTAATCATTGTATAGTAAAAAGGCTTAATTTTCAATATTTCCTATTGAAATTTCGTTCATAATAACAATTGGACCTGAAAATTGACTTAAGCGAATTTGACCCACGTAGGGCACGTATTATTAATTCAACGATATAGTTTTAACCCAACACGCTACCTTTCTGTGAATCAAAAGAAACAGGTACGCGACGTAGAAAATTATAATAATTCAAAAAAAATTCAAATTCTTTTAATGAGGAAGTGCCATATATAATGTTATAGATTTTTTTCAAACACATGATTTGATTTTATTTATAGCTGATCTTTATAGAATGCCACCGTTTATAGATCAATCAAAGAGTTCTGACTTGTGATATGATACCATTAAAAAATTGTACCAAAGGATATTATCTCACATCTCTCTTAAAATATGTATGCCGCACCAAAGGATATCTGGTCCTTCGCTATTATCCCCAAAAAGACCCGTTGTTTTGATAACCTAGAGCTGATGGGAACGACAATAAGCTGCCAGACGATGCAGCTATTTATGTAGAGTCTGAGTGCCGTTAAAGCTTCCTGGCAGGTTTTTGCATCATCAATGCCTATGTCATTTTGCTGGAAAAGCAAGCCACAATACCTCGTATGCCGCAGTCTTTTTTCTTGTTTGGGTCGTAGTGTTTCGTAAAGTGTAAGGATTCTGTTCTTAGATCGAGAAGTCACGCTTTAAAAAAATCAACAAGAACAAACATTGATAATTGATGTAGAGTCACGACCAATCTCTACTACATAGTAAAGGGAAGCGAATAGAGCGCTTTCCAATCTTAAAGCTCAACTGGCGTAGTCTAAAAAGTATCTGAATAAGGTAATAATAGTACATCTTGAGTATAATGAGTCCTTGGAAATTTTATCTAATAATTATTGTAACCAATATATAGTTCGGGTAACGAATTTATTTTTATATATTATCGTATCGATGAGTGATGAGGAAAGAACAGACTGGCGAACATTAGAACAGCCCAGAATTAATTTTAGTAAGCTACGGAATACTGTCACCGCGTTCTTCGAGTACGATCAGCGTGCTATAACGTGCGTTTAATACGCGCAAGTCACGAACCCTGAGAAGATAAACCATTAGAACAGTACTTGCGTCTTTACAGAGTCGCTATTGGTATTGGTATTGATAAATGAAAATCAGAAATTTTCTTCACGTTATGATTAACAACACCAGGATTATTTAAGCTTAATGCTTTCAGTCGCCTTTATACGAATGCCTCTCACACGCATGGCGTGCATCGTTTGCAATTAAAAAATTCACAATTCAGCCCATAAGCCTACATCATGTCAACGCGTGTAAGCCAAAGAGCAAAAGGCCTAAAAAAAAAAAGGCAAGAGATCTTCCTCAACCCAAACGTTCATCTATCGTAAGCGACAAACGTAATTGTAAAAACAACAGCTGTCCTATCTACTGAGAAAAAAAATCGGTGTGACTTTCTTAAAGTAATTTTAAAAATTCACATGATCATAATAAAAGGACTGCTTCCGTACATTAAACGATTTTACTAGATTTTAAGGCCAGGTGAGCTCTGCATGCGTGAGAAAAATTATTTCCCACGGTAAAAGAACTGGGGTCCTTATTGCATGCCAATACACAAAATTTGGTTTACGTTTGTTGGAATCCTGAACAAAATAAACGTAAAACGATAAGGGTTCTTAAAAATGAGCGAACACAATAAAATGCCAAAACATACAGCATAACGATAGTCTTATTTGGAATCTCACACATACACACATTTCTCAAATAGGGGTTACACCAGCATGTCTTGAGATTTTCTCTGCTTTTCTTTTTCTCTTCAATTTTTCTCTCTTTCTTAACGACTATACTCAGAGCATTATTTATTTCTTTGACTGTAATTAGGGGTTGCTTACGGCTGAGCGAATTTGTTATAAAAAGTCTCTTATCAATGGTACAACAATCAGTATTTTATCCTCTGCTCAGCTAGTGAAGACATAACAGGACAGAATTTTTATACCTTTTATACAAGATGTCAACTGAAATTTCTGAGATGTCGAAAACATATCAGTATCGTAAAGTAATGAAACCCATGCTGGAACGTAAAAGACGTGCTCGTATTAATAAATGTCTGGATGAATTGAAAGATCTAATGGTAGCCACTTTGGAGTCGGAAGGCGAACATGTTACCCGTTTAGAGAAAGCCGATATTCTTGAACTTACAGTTTCCCACCTTCAGAGAATGAAACAGAATCGTAAACTTAATGGTAACAATAGCTCATCCATGACGCAAGCTGAAGGTTTTCGTTCCGGTTATATACACGCCGTTAACGAAGTATCCCGTTCCCTTTCCGAATTGCCTGGAGTTAATGTAAATATTGGTACGAAATTAATGACACATCTTGGACAGCGGCTAAATCAACTGCAACCGCCTGTTAAACCATCACTGCCGGTTACTTCACCGCTTTCCGTGCATATAGCAACAACTTGCCAGCGTAAGCAATACTCAGCACCAATTTCGCCTTTATCAGGATATGCCAGCAGCCCAGACTCGAGCTTATGCAGTACAAAACGTTTTACCCCATTGCTAACTACCTGCCCGAGTACGCCAATAGATGTCACAAGCGTCGATGCAAACGACGCAGAAGAAGAAGAAGAAGAAGAAGAAGAAAATGTTTGGCGACCATGGTAGCACCGTAAAATTCATTAATGTCAGTCGTCGGGCAAACTACTAAGTCATTGTCTTCCAATGGAATTTACTAAGAAGTTTAAATCCGCCAGTACAATAAATTGAAAAGCTTTATTAGCCATATTACCATTATAATAATGCGTTCTTCGAATTGAAGAATAACGCCGCATATCATGTGATAGTTTTAGTTTTAAATGATCGTTTCATAAATTTAAGTCTAGAAAAAATCTTTTGTATTAAAAAGAATATTACGTAATCAAAAAATCAATTTTTCGTTTTTGGCTTTTGGTAGCTATGCAGATTTTGATTAGATTCATGTGAGTTCATCTATTCGTCGGAATACTTTCTCTTGTTGCAATTCTCTTAACTGAAATATTTGAAAATGCGAAAAACCTGCCTACATTAAACGGATTGAATGGAACTTAGAAAACACAATTAAAAAAATTATATTTTTTTTACCCATCATCGTTATCGTAAAAAGAACAAGAAAGAAAAGTAAAAGAACTAAATTTCCATGCTTTATAATATGTGGTGGGTAGGTCAATTTTTTTATTTATTTACAAAATAAAAGTTTTTGTGGAACAGGCGTGTGGGCGTCGTGGCCATACCCTTTGAAAAGTTTAAGTCACTTCCAAATTCTTTTATAAATTTGTAGGCAGTGTCTTCATTTTCGCTAATGTTTATCACAGATAGTACACAGTTGCGCAGATAGACAGACGAATAGACGGGCGTACCCAAATTTGAAACTGGCCAAGAATTTATGTACTCTATAGGGTTTTTGAAATTTTGATACACAATCTATTTTGTGTAGCTTTCTTCTAGGTATTGCAAACGTTTTCACAAAATGAATACACTCCTCATTCTTCAGTGATGAGTGTAAAAACAGCAAGGAACAAAATATTTCCTTATACTTTTGTTAATTACTATATATTTTGGTAATTACTACACATCATTTGTGGTACAAGGGATGCATGCAACATCCAGAAGAAGTTAGGGTTATCCGTCCATCTGTCCATCTTGTTTTCTTGTGTTCAAACTACACGACGTAATTTTTGAAATATTTTGAAGAAATTTGATAAACTGTTTTATCCCACGGACGGTACGTATTGAAAAGGGTTCGGATCGGACCCTTCCGGACACTTCCCATTATTTTGAAAAGTCATCATGTGAAGAACTATATGATGATGTAGGATATTTATGATGGGCAGTAGTTTGAAATTTGGAATTCATCGACTAATCGAGTAGAGACAGATCGGAGCCAACTTTTAATGCAAGTTACTTTGATGAAGCAATCGGGTTCGTTTTGTTTTAAAACTAAACTATATTCGAATATTGTGATCTAGGCTTATCAATTGCTAAGAATTCAAGACTGTTGGTTAAGGATTTTTTCCATAGGATTTCGTTACATTACATTCTTCGTTTATTCTTGCATGGTTCTGCGTTACCTCGGTCGTTCCATTAAGTTTACATCGTGGATAGTTTAAACTGTTTTATATCGTTCCGAAAAAAAAGAAAAAGAAAGAAAATTATTAATAGGTTACAATATGATAAGCGCAACGGTCGAAAGATTTTTCCGTTACCTTCGTTGCAGAAATCTCCGTAACACACAGGCCGCAGTGGCCGATCAATAAAAAAAAAAAAAATGGATAGTATTTCTGGGAAATTCTAAAAATCCTCACAGCTCCAAATGCTTTGATATTGTGAGGAGAAGCAACCGATAAATTTGCTGAACATCATGCTACAATCGCCAGATATTATATGAAGGACTTGATCAACCTTGGGTGCAAATATTGCATTACTAATGTGAAACAATATTTGTTTACTTATAACTTTATTTTAGCAATTCCGTACAGTATTTCGCAGACGTGCATGCATACTGTCTTTTTGCAAATAAGTGATAGTCATAAGCTTTTATTTAGCATGAGTAGGCGAATAGGCAAAAAAGATCGCGGCTAATAACTCTACGGTCGTGAATTCGCAATTGCGGTAGAATTTTCAATATAGGCGAGCTTACGATGTAAGTTATCCGGCAATCTGTTTAAATCTATACTTTGTAAATTTATAAACAAAATAGAACATAAATGAATGAATAAACAATATCAGGTTTTTATGCGCGATGTCGAATAGCACATCAGAGCGAATTCTTCCCTATATGTTACATATCATATTACATGGTAGATAGCGTATATAGCATATATTTCAAGTTTGATTTATTACAATTGTCCAGCATCTCACAAGTAATTAGGTAAAGTAAAGATCGTATTTATATTTGTTGCTTTACTTATAGAGATTTTTTCGATATTTGTGCGCGAAATCTTAATCCACTTTGGAAACTTTACGTTTTAAATTGAAGATTCCAAAGGCTTGAAAATTGCATTTTGGAAAAAGTGAAAGAGTTGGAACCAGACAATATTTTGAGGTTGTCGTGATTTCGACAGATTGATAAATAATACTTTGATAGAGCATGATCAAAAATATTAAGTGTCATATTTTTATGGGGGAACCGATATTGAAAAAATGCGACGAACTCACTTTGGCGGATATGAAAAAGATATATTGAAAATTTAAAATGCAAGACCATCAATCTGCCGCCAGACTGTCTATGTATAATTAAGGTAAAGGATTTAATTTATAAAATACCCAAATGTATTGTTAACGTTGATAGACTGATATTTAAGGGATCGTATCATTTAAGAAAAATTGTCTATTAAATAATACATCTATACTTAAGTTAACAATAATTACAACACATTCTATGACTAGCCGTTGCGCTGACACTGCAAGGGGGAAACGCTCATATAACCAACCATAAACATATACACACACCCAATCAAGCATAGTCAAACAGAAATCCAAAAGATATACATTAAATATCTCAAGATACAAAGACGAAATGAAATAACAAAGCAAACGAGAAAAAAGTAAACTAAACCTACCGTCTATAATCTGTAGATATTTGTATATGTACATATATATATATATATATATATATATATATATACAGTACAAACTGTATATCATTCATGCTTATCTTTGTATGCCGTTGTATATATGAAACTAACCCTCACTGAATGATTTCACAGGCAACTATAGAGCTATAGCTTTTTTTTCGCTGTTACTGTTGTTGTTGTTGGTGCTATTGCAGAAGTGTAGCAAGAAAGCATTGTATCAAAGTGACGATCGTGAGAAAATGGTTTGGAACGTGGTTCTCACACGATCGACACACCTGCCCTTTTTAATTTCAAGATACGAGACAAGTTGCGGCAAGCTTAGCAATACGGTTACATACACTTTTGTTCATACATATATGTACACATACGCACACACACACACACACACACACACACACACACACACGCACGCACACACGCGCGTATGTATGCAAGTAGGCATTGGATAGACATAAAATACACATAAAATGTTTGTAAAGAAAAAAAAACCCTAATATGAAATTCAGTACACACAAGAGCTGCCAGAGAGTTATTGCTTGAAAGAAAGAAAAATAAAGTTCGATCCCTCTGCTGCCATAGTCGCTGGTATACAAGCACAGGTACAGGAAAAAAAAGAAGTGATTTTCGACTTGCGACGAACGTTAAACGGATGCGTTAGTTGGACAAACGAAACAACGTAACGACAAAAACGACGACGACGGACGTTCCAAACTGTTATCAAGAATTAAATTTAGTTGAATCCGGTTTATGTTTAGTTCACAGACAGCCGCTCTTATGCAGTAATGAATGGCACACGCTCATTGTGCCACCAAGTTTTTATGGCTTTACATGCATCCAAATATGTATGTACATATATATATATATATATACATTAGGTATTTATTTATGCGACTTTAACCATAAATTCATAATTTTTTCTAGATGACAAAGAGATTATAGGCAAAACGAAATTATTGATTTGAAGCGATATTAATAAACAAGCGCGATTTGATGAAAACGGATGAAAATGAGGTACAATAAGAATAACACAAGTGATAGCAACTTATATTAGTTTGTTGGGTTTAGGTTAGGCTACAAGGAAATTATTACAAGAGTAGTAGAATGCGAATCAAATTGTTTGCAAAGTAAGAAGGGTTAAATCTTTCTTTAAGACAAGAAAACCGTGAGAGTCCAGACTAAAACGACCTGAAATTTCTCCTATTCTGATCTTGATTGAACATTTTTTCTGTAATGCGAGAGCATCTTCTTTGAAATAAGAAAGTTAAGCCTAATAAACTCACAACGTACTTTAATTTTCATTGTGTTCTAAAACAAGCACGTGCTTGAGAAATCATATACGAGTAAATAGAAAGCAACAAAATAAAAAAATTTATATTCAATTTAATTATCGTGGTTTTTTTATTAAAATAAGTTTTCTTTTTCATTAAACTTTACTTCTCGTACGTCTTCTAACATTTATAATACTGCAGCGGTCAGTAAAAATTCCTTTAGAAAGGGATATAATTTACCGGCTTTACCAAGGAGTCGTTGAAGTCGCTTTGACAAAAACTTCACATATTCGCGTAGAGCTTTAGGTAAAGTTTGCTCTTTAAAATCCTCCAGTGCCAACTGGATATAAAGGACATAGGCGCCTTAAGTGCACCCTTCTTTGACGTTTTATTTACCAAGGACGCCACATAGAACCAGAATCACTAGGCGCCGGACTGCAACCACCGTGTTCACTGCTACCGCATTCGGAAGGAGGCGGTGTAATAAGGACAGCATCATTGCCACTATTGACAGCAAAATAAGTTGAAGCCAATTGAGTTTGATTAACTATAACACCAAGTTGCGTAGGCGTTGTCTGCTGACTAACTGTTATACCCAATGGTGGTACAGTTGTTGGTACAATCACTTGCAAATAATTCAAACGATGCCCTAAATGAGTCATTAATTGAGTGCCAAGATCCACACTAACACCCGGTACCGAAGCCAAAGTTTTAGATACCTCATTGGCGGCATGTATATAACCAGCACGAAAACTCTCAGCTATCGTCAGTTTTGTATCCTGACTGCTGGCCGTTAAACGTAATTGTTTTTGAGCGCGTAACTTTTTCATATGCTCAACGGTCAATTCCAAAATATCAGCTTTTTCTAAACGCGTAATATGTTCGCCTTCTTGCGTTAAGCATTCGACCATTATATCCTTAAGCTCGTCCAGGCACTTGTTGATACGAGCACGACGTTTACGTTCCAACATCGGTTTCATAACTTTACGGTATTGATACGTTTTAGACATTTCCATTTCGAGCACCATTCTTTTTCGTATCGTTGTTGCAGTGTTTTTTTTTTTGTTTCTAACAAAAGTAATCCACAAAACTTAAACAAACTATAAGCAAGGAGATGAGACGACGTTCTCGCTATGACGACTATATTTAGAGTGATTCGTTTATTGCGCTTACAAGACTTTATAAACACTCGAAGAGCGCGACTCTCACTTAAGCCAGAACGAGAGGCCGCCTGCATATCGTTTTCATCGAGTCAGTAGTATATTCATTCAGTCCGGTCCTATACTATGAGTATAAGCTGTTGTTTCAAATTTACGTCATACCCCTCGTGTATCCGCACGCACAGAATATTTTTTTATACTTTATACCAAACACTCTCTGCACCATAACGACGTCGTATAATTCATATGATGTTTGTATGTATATACGTACAGTATTTAAAAAAAAAAAAAGAAGAAAAAAAAGACTACAGCAACCAACACCAATAACTGCCACTAAAAAGCAGCACAACAACAGCAGCAACAACAATCAAAAACAAACGAGCATGTATATGTATGCTAACCACACAAAGGCAAACGATGAACGAGTCGACTTGTGTTGTGATTGTTATACCGTGGGAAACTATTCCGTAGTCGATTTCTCACGACAGTTTGTTGGACGGTTGGCTGACTGCCTGACTGCCTGCCTGCCTGCTTGCTTGCTTACTTGCTTGCTTGCTTGCTTGCTTGCTTGCTTGGTCGCTTAACTTGATTGTTTGTGTGCGACTTAATGTTGCTAGCATGACTGTTTGATTGGGGTCTTTTAAGTGTTCAACGACAGCGGCAGAAGCATTGCAGCGCACATGCCTTCCATCTATAACAAGATGATTGTGTTATATTGTATGTAGTCTTGTTGCTGTTATTGTTGTTATATGTACTTTTATTGCTCAGACGGTGTTGCGGTGCGTTCATGCTATTAAAATTGGCTTTGGTGACTCTAACCCGTTGCTTAGTCTTACTATACATGCATACAATATATTTATTATACATGTATACAGTACATACCGATCTGCCTATTTACCTACCTACATCCATACATACTCATATATAGTGTTGTGCAGAAATAAATTCAGGTAAGCATGCCCATCAATAGGATTCAATGCATGTCGGTATGTGCGCATAATTGTGAACTTACGTTTACACGTATGCATGCTTACATCTGAATACATATGTATATATGATGGTCCTCTTGTGAATTTTTTTGAATTGTTACTGTTGTTGCATCGGCTTCTTTTTTTTGTTTTTTTTGTTTTTATTTTTGTGTTTAAGTATATATGACGTTTGCTGCAGTAGCAAGTTTCGCGATACGCCACAATGATAATTGAGGACTCATCATAGCATTACTTTTGTGGATCATTGAATCGTGCCAAAATCATTGGCAAACGTTTGTGAAGTCGTCGGCTTTTCACGTATGGTCATCGTCGTCTTATTTGCCAATATACATGTACATATGTAAATACATATGCATTTAACTAAATGCAAATGCCTTCACATGGCTGCTTATATCCTGCTGTTGATGTGTGATTTTGTTCTTAACAGTCACGCAAAAAACTTATACAAAAACATAATTATCTGCGGAAAGAATGAACGACTTAACCGACCGAACGTGAAACCTACCGACCGTATTTAAGAGACAAATTTGTTTATTTTTCAAAAAAAAAAAAAAAAAAAAAAAAAAAAAAAAAGAGACCATAAACTCTTGGTCGATTTAATTTCAATTATTTCCTGTATATGTTCCCACAATCTCTCTATGAAATTATGAATTTGTATAGAATTGTGTTAAGTATATGTTGTATTTATAATTAATGTGCGACGTTTGTATGTATATACAGTGAACTGTACAAATCATCGAATACATAAGAGATATAACTTCTGTGCTAACCTTACTAACTAACTGACTGACTGCACTACACTATACTACGCTACACAACACGATTTTAAATGAATACCGATTTTGTCGTTACATTATGAGATCAGGATACTGTGTTTTACACATACTTTTGCAGCGATATGAGTCATGTCGGTAAACATAGCGCTGTGGGTATGAGTGTTGGGGTATAAAACTTATCAAAACTGTCCATCAATGCCGCAAGCACGCGCGAATGTCATTTCAATTCCATTTGCCTGATCCTTACCCCCCGCCCAAACATTGTATCGTCTTGCAAACGACGCAGTCCAACAACAACAACACAAACAAAAGAAAAACTTTACAAAAAATTTAAATCATTTTTAATGTCTGTACATATGTACGCGTGCACGTAAGCTCATGCATCAACATCCAGTGTACAAACGCTCAGTAATTCTCAACATCATGTAACGTGGGAATACAATTTCATTTTTTAACTAAACTTAACGCTACTTGAACATCCAAAAATGAAAAACTAATCATTGGCACTAATTACATTACTTATTCCAGTAGAGACGTCTAAAACGCAAAATGATAATATTTTTTCTTTATTCAGACTAAAATTTTCCAATTAATGATTACCACGTCGACCTTACTAGAGAAAAACATCAACAAAACTGCACGATTGCCTACTTAAGCCAGGATATAAAGTTAGAGCAAAGGCTAGGTTTTATAATTTTACCTGCAAGGAATTAATCTCTGGATTAGTAACTTATAGAAGTCAAAAGCGCCAACAACGCAATTAGCTTTATACGCTTATTAATTAACGTCAAGTGTTTCTCTCCCTAAGTTTGTCGAAGAAAGCTCTATCGGTATTCAGTCGGTGTAAGAAATTTATCAAATAAGTCTACATTACATTTTTTATCATTAGATTGTAAACATATGGACAAGCCATTTTTACTTCCCCTCCGATCTTACGCTTCTTTCATCGCTGGTGCACTCATAATGTTTTCATTAAAACGTAGAAGTGAAGTAAAGCGTAAAAAAATTACTTTCTGCCTATACTTCTTATTCTGTTGTGTGTTTGTAATGGTCTTCCTTCGCTTGTTGGTGGACATTTGAATGGTGGGAACGTTTTCAATTGCATATGCCGCCACAAAAGGCGTCGAAGGAACCTTACGAATTTATGAATTCAGAGTGTTACAAACGCCGTAAAATTACGCTGATATAGTTTTAGATCCCTATTTTGACCAACATCACAGATGGCTCTGAGGGTTTAACGTCTACACCTGGCATGATGCCTTAATCACACGGATTGCCTACAACCATAGGTACTCAATTAAGTTGAGTGATCACCCCCCAGGGGTAGAGACAATCCCCTAATAAGGCGGTCTCAATTACCCTGAGGTTCGCAGATAGTTCATTACCTATATGAATCACCACTCTGGTAGGTGGTGAGGCCTATCTTCTCCTCGAAATTATTCCAATCATTATGGAATGGTGAGAACTACAGCTATCACGATACTCCCCGAAGGGCCGTGTCCAAGCAGTCAGGGCTCACAAGGATTGACTGACGTACTTTCCAGCGCACTTTCTTACATCATATCAACCCCTCTGAGCGGGCTCCTGACCCCCGTGGTTCTTAAAATTTATCTACAAAGCCTTTAGCCTTACTTTGCTCTCCTTACGGAGCATAGTTTATCAACCCTGAGCAACGTCACAGTGAAATCACAAGTCACAAGTAATTTTTTGTCTGTGATCTCTACTAGAGTTGAGAACTTTGTTTTACAATAAAACTGACATAGCGCCATTTTCTTATGATCATTTCCTCGGAATACTAAAATTGATACAAAATCAAGACAACTTTAACTAGAACAGGTACAGTTTTGTTTTATGACGAGTGGCCGATCACAACGCCAGAACACACCCTTTAGTTTCGAATTTTAATAAAAATATTTGCATAATTTGTAAAAGTTGTTGAAACGTATACTAGATGACAATGTAACGGTCAAAAGTGCCACAATATGACTTCAAAGAACGCAAAAAAAAAAAAAAAAAATGCTACGTATTGCAATATCATTCGCGCAAATAAATAGCCGTTAAAGATGCACGGACAAACTCATTTCTACTCTGAACGGCATGAATTTGACGTTATTTTTTTTTTACAGCGTTTAAATCGTTGCCTTTGATCGACATCTTAACGCTTTAAGACGAAACGATGAAATGAAATATAATGAAAGTTGATATGATAACAATTTGGAAGTCCATCACATTTGAACTTTAATTATTATATAATAAAACTGCTTACTTATCCCAGTATAATCGTAAATCATATCCAATAAGAATAATGCGTGATTCATGCACTATTTAAAGGGAACTGTAAAGCTCCTTCGCTGGATGCACTTTTTCAAAGCTATGTTCATTTTCAAGCTTAAAAGTTGAAAGAACTAAAATCCTTTAATGTAAAGTTTATTAGAGGCATGAGAGAATGATCAATGTTCAGCGCTGTAGACACGAAGCTTTGTCGAAGAAAAGTAAAAGTACCAGGAAGCCAAAATGTTACAAGTCTTTTTTTATAGCAATTTGAGCGAAAGCCTTGCTTCAAAGGAATCGAAGACATATAAAATATGTATTTTTGTACAGTGCAAACTTTAGGAACCTCTGATCATTTATACGTATTTACAGTATGGCCGTACACTCCCATTGTAAGTCTTCTGCCATTGTAAGCTCTATAACAAATCGCCAAGATCTTTGTAGATTTGTTTGTGTATAGTGTTTCTTTTTCTTTTTTTTTTTTTTTGTTGCTGTTTGCGATCGTCATTATGGCTGTTTTGTATAGAAGTGGTTGTTTTGTAGTCGTCGCTGCTCAATTCCAAGTACATACACGGAACCCAGGGTTTATATGAAACCGTGGGAAACAAACTCGTGCCAGTCGCTTTAAAGCTGTCAAATATTATCTTGATTTTATGCAATGAAGCACAAAACAATCTCAAGTGGGGGGTACGCGGTAGCCAGTTTGGAACGCGCGCGCTCGCTCTGTTGTGTTGATTGAATGAGTGCCAGCAGAAACCTGTATAAATATATATATATATATGTATACATACATGTATATGTGTATCGTATATAAGCATTGCCTTATACACATGCCAAACTATAGCCAGTATTGGCCAAACATATCGGCATTTTTTATAAAAAATATCTTTTGCTATATACTTTTTAAAAAGAAACTCGAAACTCTTTTCCCTTTCGTCTAGCTAGCGGGCTAAATTTTATCCACTACAGTTAAAGAAGGCAAACCAAAAGAAAAGAAAAGAGAGAAAAAAAAAAAAAACGGAAACCGCATCTGATAAATATTGCTGGTGAGTCAGTTAGTCAATCAGCCATACAATCAAGTAGTGCAACAATCGTTACGTTAGTTAAATTAACAATTTAAAGTCCGTCTCTTGAATAGTTTGTTGCAGTGAAGTTGTGATGTTTTACTTATATATACCCATCCATATGTATTACATACAT